AAAGACTAGTAAGGTAGCTTAACGAGTTTAGTAAGTTCTAACTTAATATTAAGTACCGTAAAGGCTTTAAGGCAATTATACCGGACGCGATTTCGCGACGACTAAATTTTATAAAGGCTTATTTAGCGATAGAGGTATAGATCCCTACGCCCAACGACTAAATTAAGACTCTAAATACTACTAAAGTAACTATAAATAACGAAAACCCCCTTAACGAAGATCTATCTTAGGAAATAGCCCTTATATAGTATTTACGGAACCCGGAGATAAAGTTAATAAAGAGGTAACGAGACCTCCTAACGAATAATAATATAAAAAACTTCGTCCTTTAAGAAGATCGGCTATATTATAATATCGAAGGTATATATATACCCTTTACTCCGAAACCCTTCTAAAAAGATTTTATTAAGTACTATTACCGTTATTATAGTTACTTTAATCCGCCTATACTCAACGATATAATTAAGTTCCGTAAGTAGTAGCTAAATATATAACACGATATATATAAGTATATAGACACCTATCGAGAGTACTAAATAGTATAGCGGAGAAAGACTTGATAAGAGAAACTCTACTCGTAAGTTAAGCTCGCCGTATAACCCTTCGAGAAATAGGCTATTAACTTTATCGGACCCCTACCTTAAACTCCCGATAGTAAATAATAAATTCTAATAGCTATTAACTAGGTAATTAGCTAGCCGCTAGCTAAGGTAATAAAAGATACTACCTTAGAGACCGTCGTAGACTTCCTCTTTAATATTTACTATAACTATAAAGCCTTCCGAGAGCTTCTTTTAAATAATAATACTAACTTAATATCTAGAATAATTAAATATTACCTTAACCGGATTAAGGTAAAGTATCGAATTACGACACCTTACTATTTATAAATAAATAGTAAGGTTAAAAGGCTTAATAATATACTTAAATCTATCTTAACTAAGCAGCTTATAAACCGACCTATAGCCGAATAGGCCTTATAACTCCCTTCGGCCTTATTTACTTATCGTGTTTATACTTATAACGATACCGAGATATCTCCTTTTAAGCTCGTTTATAGGATTAAACCTCGTTTAACTAGAAATAAGGAAGACTTTAATAAGGATAATCTAGACTAGGACTTTAGTATACGCCTCGAGACTCTATAAACTATATAGTATAAGGCTAATAAAAGACTAATTAAGAGGGGTATTTATATAAAGAAGCTACACCGAGATTACTTAACCCCCCTTATAATAAGCCTAAAGGTAGGAAAGTATATTCTATTAACTAATAAACAGCGGTAAAAGTTTAAAGCAACTTACTTTAGACCCTTTAGGATCGAGAAGAAGCTATAGTTAAGCGTCTATATTCTCGTCGCCTAGCTAGGAGAAGCTAATAAGTAGCATATTCTCCCGAAGCTCGTAAACGAGGTAAGGCTTATTAAATACCGTCCTTTTAATAAAGAGGGCGAGATTATTCGAGCCGTAATAACTTTAGTATAGTAATAATAGCTTTAAGAGAAGATAGTTAGTATTAAGAGGCTATTAAAGGAAGTTCTAGAGGTGCTGGAATAAGATAGCACGCCTTTATCGTATAACGAGCTTATAACTATCCCCCGTAAGTAGTAACTTATATTTAAAAAGTAACGACCCGGTAGTTATTTAGGTAAAGTAGAGAAGGAGCCGATAAGAGCTTAAGAGAAAAGGGGTAATATAGTCTCTATAACTAAGCGAATAAATTAGAATATAGCTAGAAAATCCTATAATACCCCTATAGACTTAGTAATAATAAACCCGATACTAGAGAAGACGTCGTTAAACTACCTATTAAATACTATTATACTAGGTATAGAAACTTACGAAGGAGAGGAAAGAGCTAGAAGTAGTTCTTTTAAAGGCCTATAAAGGACTATAAGAGACGAAATAAAGTAGTTCTAATACTAAACCCCTCTCGCTATAGCGGAGTATATATATTAAAGGGCCGAGAAAGACTTATTTATAATCGGCTTAACTTAGAGAGTAAGATAAACCCTTATAAAGCTAATAAGTCCAGCTACGGGAAGGCCTAGAAAGATACAATAATCGTAAGGCACTATAGTAACTATAAATAGGCTAGCGGAAGACCGATAGTTACTCGCTTAGAAGAGATACATCTTAAGACGGTCCTTATAACGAAACCCGAGGCCTATAATAAAAAGAAGATAATTAGACTCCGATAATACTTAAATTTATAAGGGTACTTAATTTATTTTTAGGTTTTTAGAAGGAAATAAAAGGAATTATATACTTTAAAAGGGCACTTCTTAGCTAAACCGCTTTATTAAAGCCCCCTTTAAGCACGATTAAAATATTTCCGAAAGCACTACTAGCCTAAAATATAAAACCCTATTATAAACTAGCAGCACTAAGAATATATCTTAACATTACTATATTAACCTTATACTGAACTACTCCCGATTCTAGGCTAAGCTAAACTCTTATTACTACTTAAGTAAACTAAAGGCGTACTAAATAGGCGCGCACCCGAAAAAGAGGGGCGAAAGAACGCTGTAAGTAAAAGATTAGGCGTAATACCGCGACTTAAACTAGCTACGGAGGGCGAAGAAGGGAACTAAGGCGAAGCCCCGCGAGTTACTCTCTTTATAAAAGCAATAGTCTCTTAACTTTAACGCTAAAGCTAATATAGTTCTATAGCTTTCTTTACCCCTTAAATACATTAACTAGTATTTATAGTCGCTTTAATTAAGCGAGCCTAATTAAGAGCGTAACCCGATACTCTATATTAATAATCCTCCTCCGCCCTTTAATCCTAAGTTATAATACTCGGTATATTAAAACTAAATACTCGCGGACTACGCGAAGGTATCTTAAGAGCGGCAGACGAAAAGAAGACGCGATTAATAGGCTACTAAGAGATGCTTTAGCGGAATAAGACCGAATAAGAACCTATTAAAGGTAAGTTAATAACTTACCGTTATTAGAGAGTAGGTTATCCTTACTCGATAAAGGGTATCGGACGCTCCGACTCTAGAGTAAACTGAACTAACTATATTAAATTAACATCCGCACTCTCGCTACGAACTACTTATATAACCTTTATTAAATTTACTATTATACAGCTTATAAATTCATTCTTTTAGGCTTCACTAGCTCTAGGTTTTAGTTTAAACTCGCGCGGAACCTTAATATTAATAATACTTAGATTATCTTTAGTTAATATACTTATAAGCCCCTATCAGCTAGAGGTTAATAGCGTATAAGTAATTAATTAGCCTTCGCGATTCTTTAGCCTCTTACTCTTACGGGTAATATACTCTTTATCTAAGGCTTCCTTAAAGAAAACAGAGGAGTTAAGTAGTGCCGAATACTTCTACGAAGATAGCTCGAATACTAAATAAAGAGAATAAGGCTAACCTCTCGTAATATATATTATATAGTCGCTATAAGTAAAGAAGGGAGATAAAGAGTCCCCCGGACGGCTATAAGCTTAAATATATATAGGAAAGACTAGTTCGGCCGGGTTAATAAGTTCTAAACCCTTCGTATAATTAATATAGAGCACGGGCTCTACAGTCCTATAGGTGTAAATAAGATAAGCGGAAAAATCTTTAGCTACTCGATTAGGTTAACGCTTCCCGGAGAACTTTAAAGGCCGACGCTCGTTACCGGGTAATAAAGCATTTAACTAGTTTAAGATATTTCCTTTAGCCTATAGAGGCTACTTCGTAAGGGAGTTTCGGATAATATAAGATTAATAGTGCCAGCGAATAGGACCCCCCTTCGCTAGTAAGCTATTTCTTTTTAACTTAATAAAATAATTAGCTATATCTCGAAAGAATTCAGGACCCCGGAACTTATAGTTAAGAGCTATAAGCGAGTAAGCTTAGAATAAGAGCTCTTATACCCTTTAACCTTTATAAGAAAGGCCTAATAAGACGGCTCTTATAAGAGCGGAAAATACTAAGAGATCTAGTTAGTTAAGATTTAAAGGGCTTTAAGAAGCAACTTATACTTATAGTAAATAAAATAAGGTAGTAACTAAGAATTAGTTAAGAGGATTTAAGAGCTATAGAGGTAGCCGAGAGATAATTATAAAATAAGAGAGTAGTATTTAAAAGCCTTAAGTAAGAGGTAAAAAGGCAAGGTAAAGGTAAATAAAAGGGTGTATAAGGAAGGAGTAAGAGAGAGAGAGAGGAGGAGAGGGAGATATCTATACCCGTTACCCTCGCCGCCGCATTACGCTAAGACTACTATTTATATATACGATAACTCTACTATCGCTTACTACTTTATAAGCTAAGTAATAGTATTACTTTATAAGGGCCTAGACCTCACTAGACCCTTAAATACATATATAAATATATATATAAACGCTAACTTACGAACCGTTAACATCGAAGTAAGGCCTATTTAAATAGGGTTATAAATAAGAACCCTCGTAACTTAACGATAATATAAACAGCACGATTACGATCAGGACACTACCCCCTCTAAACGGCTATATTCTCTCCCTTCTAACAATATTTACGACACACTCATTACCTACGCAGGTCAGACACTACGAACGGACCTTTTCCTTACCTTTCCGATAAACAACTTAGTGGATTCAGAGGGTTTCGGAGGTGCCTTATAACTGAGGAGTACTACGAAGAGCACCCGACTGTCGAAGGAGGGCCTTCGAAGCTAAGTAGGGGAGGCTGTGACTGGGAAGGTTATCCGAAGGGTTGGCCAGACAGCACCAAGAGGTGTACTGGGCCATACCCCCTATTGTACGATACCGTATTGTTTACATAGGCCTTCGTAACTATATAGCTGGGTCTCCCCCCAGACCCCTCTGAAATTCATCATGTCCTCCAATTGAGTCACACAATGATCGAGGGATCCTGATGAGTCACGCTCAGGTGCGCTACAACCAAACCTGCAGCTGATCAACCCATCATGCCAGCCTAAACATACATACTGTGGTACCACACTATACCGCACCACTGACAGTACTGTATACCCAACGTCAATAATGTCATGTCCACTCAGAGCACCGACGCCGACGCCGACGCCAATGCCGCAGTCATGGCCACGGCCAACCCGTACGAAATCCAAAACAGGATGCAAGACGTGCAAGATCCGCCGCGTCAGGTGTGGAGAAGAGCGCCCAGCCTGTCGACGCTGCGTGTCCACGGGGCGGAAGTGTGATGGGTACGGGGTCTGGGGTGGCGGTGGTGGTGGTGGTGGTGGTGGTGGTGGTGGTGGTGGTGGTGGCGGCAGCAACACGGCAAGATGTGCCACGACGACCTCTATTGTCTATGTTGGACTGCCGAGGCCGCCGTTGCCCGTCCACCCTGCCGCTGGCGCCCTGGACCCGGACGAACGGTACCATTTCGAGTGGTTCTGGCGGCGGACCGCGCGGAAGATCCCGGGCGCTTTCTTCTCCGACGCGGGTAATGCGCTGTTCTTCCAGGCCTGTGCGAGCGACGTGGCGGTCACGCATGGCGTGTTGGCCATGTGTTCGGCGCATAGGGGGTCGGATAGAGCGTTTGGTGGGAAGAAGGGGCCGCTACGACTGTCGTTGGGAGAGACTCTGCTGCGACGCTGCGAGGAAGACTTTGCGCTGCGCCAGTATAACAAGGCGATATGGCATTTGCGGCCGCACTTGCAAGGTCAAGATACGACCTCGCTACGCATCGCGCTCTATTCGTGCGTCGCGTTCATCTGGGTCGAGTACTTCCGCAGTCGGTATCGGTCGGCGGCACGTCACTTGGAGCATGGTCTCAGGATCTTGCAGTATGCGCTCCGCAGCCTCTCTGGATCGAACGGATTCGGTGCTCAGGCCATCGATCATTGGGTTCTCGGCGTGTTCAGAAAGCTATACGTGCAGGCGACTTTGTTTGGACAGCGGCCGTGTCATGCGTGGCCGGTTCCCAGCGACTTGAAGCCCGTGTCTGGGGTGTCTATCTTCCTGAATGCACATGAGGCGAGAGACTATTTGGAGGGGATCCTAGTGCGGATCTGCGATGTTCTGGAGTGTCACGTCCAGACTCAGCCAACCCATCTTTCATTTGAGCCACTTGAAGCCGATACGTTGAAAAGTATCTTGAGTGACCTCGATGCTTGGATGTCTGCGTACGACAACACCCTCGCTCTCCTCGAGTCCCAGATGGACAAGGTGGAAGCGTTTGCATGCCGCGTGCTCCGCATGTATCATACCATGGCCGTCATCATGGCAGACACGGCCTGCGAGCGCGACGAACTCAAATACGACCGCCACACGGCCAACTTTCTCCATATCCTAGAGCAAGCGCTGGAGATGCGCAAAGTCGCGCTAAACAGCAAGATTCGCGAGAAATACTTCGGAGCGGAAGACGGGCTCCCGCACTCGATTGGCGACATGGGACTGATTACCCCACTGTATTTTGTCGCCGTGAAATGTCGCGTGCGGCACCTCCGGGTACACGCCATCAGACTGCTCGAGGAGGAACCGCGCAAAGAAGGGATCTACGATTCAGTCCTGGTGGCGAACATCGCGAGGAAGGTGGCCGCGGTTGAAGGTGGCTTGCACAGCCAAGATCCCTCTGCGGACGACTTTGCTCTGTCGGAGCTCCCCAAGGAGGCAGAACTACTGTTCGCTGAAGTCCCGCCGGAGCATTGCCGCTTGCAGATCCTCGAGGTCTTGCTACCAGATGATCCTTGGGAATGTGCCATACTGCGGTGCCGAAGCCAGCACTCTATCGAACAATTCATGATCTCTGCCCAGCATTCAGCAGGCGGGGACGATGCGGGAATGGCAGAGCATCCGTGACGATGGACATGACATCGCGTGGTCACAGACAGAGGATTTGGCGAGGAGTTCGCGTGTCAGAAGGGCAGTCCTTAGAGAGATATGTCGATCGACGACTATATCAGATTGCCTCGCGATCAAGATTAGAACCGCTGAAAAGATAGATAAGCTGCCCTGCCGAGCGACAATGATGCTTCATCTATTGCTGAAGGACCAGCAACTGGCGGATAAACGCTGCGATCCTCTGCACTGCCACAAAAGATTTGGACCCGGTTGACTTGGGCAGGCATGCTTCGCCCACTACTGTGCGATTTTGTTCGGTTGAGCTCTCTACTGTACTCCGTACGTGTGTCGCAAACTGAGTCCCGACTCGACGGTCATGATGGGGACAAGGCCAATTTGAAAGAGACGCACCAACGCGGAAGAGCCGTCCAGCCACGACGCCCACGGCGAGGCTTAGCTCGTTTAGGACATCAACGGGGGCTTCCTGCCGGAGTAACTCCAGGCATACTTACTGTGTAAGAGTCTGGATGCTGGATGCTGGATGCTGGGGGCGTTGCTTCACCTGTCAACTTTATCACACGTGCAGATCAGTGTCAAGTCGTCCGTTGACTGTCAATCTTTTAGCACCACCTGTCGTGCCGGCTCATCAGATCTTCAGAACCAGGACGCAAATACTGTACAGTACTCCGTACATAACCTAAAATCAAATTTCGTTGTCCATGGAATATGCAAGCCCCTCAGCAAGGACAATATCGCTTGTTCCAGGTCTGGCAATCTTCAGCAAGGATTCGGGGTTTTCTAATTTGGACGCGCAGGAGCAGCCGTCAGGCCCGCCGTGGCCCGCGAGCTTGCCCAGGTTGCGCTGACCGAAAGGGGACTAGCCCAGGCACGGGTACCCAACAGGAAGGCACCCAACAGGACCCAGGCCTGTGATTGGAGTGGGGCCCTCGGCCTGACGCACCGAGCGAAATGTTCTTTTTAGTGCTGTTCGCTGTTCGGCGACTGTGTTGCCATCCCTGTGCTTGACCCTTGATGAGGCTACACAGTACGCCAGCCCGCTCTGAGATCTTCACAACTCAACGGTCCGGCGTCCGACTCAATCTTGTCGCAGAACTTGTCCAGATGCGGTATCGCTGGGCTTGGGGCGAGGATCCTGAGGTGATCGCCCGTTGCTAGACTTCCCTTTCCGCCCCTGTGGCTTCAGCCCAGCGTCATGGCTAGAGGTAAAGGTGGACTCCTTCCTGGCGGCCGTGGCAGAAACGGCATGGGTTGGTCTTTCTCGCTCCCTGTCGGCTGAGCTCGTGCTCTGTTGGAGCACTCTCCCCGTGAGAAATACGCTTACCTTCTCGCTTGCTAACGATGTCTGCGTGGAAGTTCCTCGCCTTTCGCGTCCATGTTCTTGACCCTTTCAGCATAGGATGGCCGGCGCCGACTCGTACGCGAACTCACAGCACGGAATTCTCGGCTTTGGATACTCCCCGGACGACCTGCTCGTAGCATTGACTTGATATTTTGCAACAGTAAAGACGACCCAGCATATTGAACAATGGCGGCCGCAGTAGGCCCCATCGAGTTGCCCACAGGGCGACGGTCATACTACAACACTTCGACACCAGTTGATATTCATGATCCCAATTGGATTCCGGTTCTGCATGGCACAGCATACAAACCACAGTTGTCGCCGGCGGAGAAGGAAGTGTTCCAACCTCAACCTCCCGCAAGCTTCTCCCTGTTCCCGCTGCAGCCCAACTCACCCAAACCGCGACCTGGCTTTTCTCATGCCTACTCAAAGAGCTCTATGGCTCCCGAGAGTGTCGCTTCAGATTCCGACTCGAGGTCGCAGAGCGCTCTAGAGAATATCGAGCCGTTACCGAGCATACCGAGCCACGTCCAGTACCCTCGAGACGCGTCAAGGGGCCACAATCGTCAGATAACCTCGACCACAGCAGGGTCGAACGAAGAGAAGATCTCGGGCGGCACAGACACACACCGTGACATGGGTAGCACGCCCAGCATTGAAGATAATGAGAATGCAAGCGTGACAGATGACCGAGCATCCAGTCGACAAAGCCAGCCTATGGAACAGATGTCCATTCGTTCGTCTATGATCTCCGCGAAACGGAGCATAATGCTCCCACCAACGTCCAAATACAACCGGAAGCCGATGGCACCAGCCACCCCTACTACTCCAGGGAGGCCATCTCTAGTACCTAGCCTGCCTCATACACCTCAGGAGTCACCACGCTTGGTGCCGAGCACACCAGGTGCATCTACGACTTTCACTTCAACTCAACCTCTCCCTTCCCCTAGATTACCACCCTTTGAGCTTGCCCAGTATCCGGATCCGTCTCCAAGGCTTCACGCTGCAAAGTCTACAGCGTCCGAACGGCGCCAGCGTGCGCTTCACTCACACCCCTCTAATGTTTCGTTGCGGTCTCAACGGAATTCGAGCTCAGACGATGCCGAGCTTATTCCAAAGCAGCCTTCGGTACGCAACAAGTCTAGAAAATCCACCGACTCTCGTGCGACGACCCCGAGATCCACAATTTACGAATCACAGCTCCCGACGCCTGCACCAACGACACCACTCCCCGAGCTACCACCTGAGGCTCATATGCATGGTCGAAGACCCTCTACCCGCGATAATGCGTCACGCAGGCTGCCGCAGCTTCCCACCGAAGAACCAGTACCTTCAACCACCCCTTCGTTTCGGCCCTTTGACCATGAAAGGGTGGCGTCTTTCATGACAGAAAAGAATACGATCGTGCTACGGAGATTCGATGACGTTCACGCGAGATTACTTTTGTCCTTGCAAGACGAGATCTCGCAGCTGGAACAGGAGCTCGAGAAGCTAGAAAACCCCACATCGTCTGGAAGTGTTTCGGAGAAGATGTTGGCCAAAACTCGAATATTGCGAGAACTGCGGAAGGTTGTGGCGGAATATGGTAGGCTCAACGGGTTCGTGCCCGCGATGATCTAAGTGACTGACCGTTTCTAGACCATCTCTTCAATACATGGAGCAAGATGCAAGCCAATCCAGCGAGCGAGGCCACCACGAAAGAGTTAAAACAGTGGTTGTCGGAGCCTGGAACAAATGCAGAAGCTGGCCTGGGCATCAGCGCACAGCAGAACATCCAGTGGCTTGAAAAGACGAAGGATGTGAGCACTATTGAACTTGGCGACGACGAAAAGGCGCCTTCAATAAACAAAGAAAAGCCGCATAGCGAAGATAGCGGAAGGTCGGGCGGCGGCGGTTTCATGGCGTTTTTTAACTGTGCCGGCAAAAGGAAGTAATGACTACAGCATGACCGTTCATGGTTGTCGTGACATGTTCCGGGGAGTGGTTCGGATGCGGAAGATGCTTTACGAAGAATTGAGAAATTGAATGTGAAAAAGCATTCAGGTGGACGTTTCGGCTAAAGCAACGGCCACTCGGTCTACACATGGCATTGAACCGAAGGATATAATGGTGAATGACTTTGCTCGACCGAGCATTTCTCCATGGGTCCTGAGATAGAGTACGAGTAGTAACGATGGCTCGGGGCTAAGGAATGCAAATCGATGATCACGTTGATGGACAAATCCCACGGCACGCAACTTTGACCGGACTACTCCGTACTCCGTAGCAGTTGTCGTACCTTGCATAAGGGCGCACGCGAATTGTTACTGGGTTGAGCTTAGAATGAATCTTGAGGCGGAGAGACTGAGATGCTTCCCCAGATTTGATGTGTCAAGGTTGCAGAGATTTCTCCTCACCACGCACGTCATCCACCAGTGCGACTCTTCTTGGAGGCTTCTTTTCCCACAAATCGAGTTGCCGTAGCCCATTTCTCCTGATTTCAAGCTTGATCTCCAGATCTATATCTCACAGGGAGGACTTTTCACCCGTCATGTTTCCACCGCAGCAAGGTATCTCGCTCGACATCGAGGCTCTGTCCGGCATTTGCGGCTCCATCTCCATCGCGTGCTGGGTCGTCGTCTTCTCGCCTCAGATTATCGAGAACTTCCGGAGAGGCTCGGCCGAAGGACTATCCGTCGTCTTCATCGTGGTGTGGCTAGCCGGCGATGTCTTCAACATTTTGGGAGCTATCCTGCAAAGGGTCCTGCCGACCATGATCATCCTGGCAATCTATTACACGCTGGCAGATATCGTGCTCTTGGGCCAGGTGTTCTACTATCGAGGCTTTACCTTGACGGACAAAGTCAAACCCAAGCCTTCATCGAATGGAGATGCAGAGACGCGGCCTCTACTCCAGACTGATTCGGCGACGCAGCCACATACGGGGGCAGAATCAACATCGATATCGCAATGGCAACGACATCTGTCCGTGGACGGTACTCATCTGTCACCGGCAACTCCCCTTATCGATCCTCCCAAGGCGAATGAAATACCTGCCATCAGCAGCGCCAGGCCGACCAGCGCACTTCAGACGACCCTATGGAACGCCTTTGCCATTCTCCTTGTCTGCGCAGCAGGAGTCTTTGGTTGGTGGATCGGGCAACAGAGGACCCGACACCACGTCAAGCAAGACGAGCCTGAACCGCTGGAGTTTGACATCCTCGGCCAAGTCTTTGGGTATCTCTGCGCAGTGCTCTACCTAGGGTCACGGGTCCCGCAGTTGCTCCTCAACTACAAGCGCAAAAGCACCGAGGGCGTCTCGTTACTGTTTTTCCTATTCGCCTGCATTGGCAATTTGACGTATGATATGTCCATTTTTGCATATTCGCCTGTTTGCCACAAGCCGGGCCACTGTGCGCCGGGTGAAGCGAAGACTTTGTATTTGAGGTATATTGCGGTGAATGCTAGTTGGATCGCGGGTAGTCTGGGGACGCTGTTGCTGGACATGGCCATCTTTGTGCAGTTTTTCTTGTACACCAAAGATGAGGAAGAAGACAATGAGGTTGCCGTGGTGGACGAGGACTAACTGAGTGGGAAACTACCTGAAGATTTGTCCTGATCACAAGCATGCACTTTGGCTTTGGGCGCAGTGAAGCGCAAAAGAGGCGAGACTGAAACACATGGCGGCAGGTGGTTGCCTGGAAACGACTCACGATCTGGCTATGACGTCAGCCTAAACATTCTCTCCACTACCTAGGCGCCACACTCTGGTGCCTGGTACCTGGTCCACCACTGGCTGCGCACACCAAGTGCACTGGAATTTCTGGCTACGACTGCGACATAACATCGTGCATCTTGTCCCGTCCGAGCGATATCGTAAGCCACAGACAATTCTAGCGCAGTCCGAAACGAGCCTCGAGGTCTTTTATCTCAACCATTTTTGTATCCCTGCCAGTGTGCGCAAACAATGTCTCCAACGAAAGACACCTCGAGTGGCCCTCTCACAGAGAAATCTCCCAACACCTTCTCACCCACAAAGGAAACATCTTCGGGCAAGCTCTCACTTCTCGACCAGAAGGCAGCCATGCCTAGATTTGAGCCACCACAGACCCGAACAAGCACACAGGTGCAAGATCAGAGTGGTGCAAGCCAGACATACATCTCACCCTCGGATGCAATTCGAAGCCCGACGACCAAGAAGCTGAGTGAAATCAAGGGCAAGAGGTTCAAGTACGTGAATTGAGTTGCTCCACGAATTTTGCCTGGCGCCAGCACGAGCAATAGCTGATACAAAACACAATACAGGAACGCAAAGCCCAAGACCCTGTTTGCACAAACCGTCTTCCGTGAAAACATCAAGGCGCAAGGTCAATGTTCGGATGCCACTCCCCGACAGGAGTAGGCAGGTGCTGCAGGGACAGGAACCGGCAAGGCGCAGTCGGGAAGGATCCAGAGCGAGAATGCTTCCTGGTCTTGGGTGTCTCTTCCTTTGTCGTATCGGCAATGCGGAGTTCAGCGCGGGTATGGCAGAGTCTAGAAAATGTCATGGATGGACTGTCTCTGAGGATATCAACCAGAGGGGCGAGAGGCGTTGGACTGGGATAATGCTGTATTGGGCTTGGGCGCCGAGCGTTCTTGTCAATAGGTATTGGATACTGCATATTTCGGACACACTTGGGTCTAGTCTCAGGCTGCAACCGAGCTCTGTATCACAACACACGACTTCCTCCCTTCTTCATTCCGGGTATGCCGACCTCGAGCGAATCGTCGTGAAGGCAACAGGGTGTGGCCAACCAGATCTGCGCTTCACGCAGGTCGATCCTGCCGTCTGCATGCCAGCAAATGGGGCCGGCAAGCCGAGTCAGCAGCATCAGTACGTACATTGTTATGGCTAGATTGGCGCTTTGGGGATAGCCACAGGCATCGGACTCCAGGGCCAGACCCTTGAGACCCTGCAGCATGGCTTCCGACCCGAGACCCGTTCATGCTCGAGTGTCACAGAGAGGCTGGCCGGCTGGTGACTCAGCTGCATAAGTAGATACAAGTTCGGTAGCCGGATCGGGTAAGTACTTCATGCGCTTTGGTCCTCTTGAGCCAGCTGCACTTACGGATTGTAGCGTGGACTAAGGTGGCTCTCAAAGTATAGCATTGCTTATTGTAATCCCGGATTGTAGTCTCTCTTATTGAGCCCGCGAGCGAACCTTCCAGCTCCTGGGCTGGGTTCGAAAATGGCTAAATGGTACGTACCGGCAGGACCTGGAGCTTGACGCATAGAAACAGTTTTGTGACCAAAGATGCATTCGGGAGGGTTAGCCACATCCTCTGGAGCCGGATATTCTTTTCCCTCCCTGCTTGCACGAACACCGTCGTGATTGTTGAGTAAGCATGTCCTGCTACTCGTATGAGACGGTGGAGCGGCCATTCGTCCTCGTTCCACCACTTCGGTGGCTTGCTTACAAAACTTCCTCACGTCTTGGCCGTCGTCATTGCCTCGACGGTGTTTGACCGTCACAACGGCGTTACGGGCGACACTTCGTTTGTCCATGCTTCCTCATTCGCCATTTTTCTCGCGCGTTACGGACTTTCCGGCGGGCCATCTTTTCTTCCTCCTGTCTTCGGTCGAATCTGGCGTATATCCACCTGTGTTGCTGTCGTGGGAAAGAATTTCGCGCAACACGTCGTTCGTTGGTCCGTCCTCCAATGGCCTGGGTTTACGAAGAGTCACGGCTGAACCATCCCCGCCCTCTATGCGTGAACGAAACTTCTAGCTTAAGGCCGGGTCCCATCTTCTGCGCCTTGCCTGTTCCATTCTGCATTGGTGATTATTCAGAACCTGGGCGGCGGAGATCGCGCGACATGCATGCTTGCAAAGCCCGTATGTCGGCTGGAGGAGTCATGGCTCGATCCAACAATGCACAATGATTCCGTGTTGATGCTGCTCTGGGATTCCAGAGCCTCTGTACGGTAAGATGTATAATAGGCACCCTCCTGAGACCCATCTCCTCTGACCCCCTCATCACATCAAACGGACTCCTATTCATACAACTATCTTGGTGTTTCAACACCACACCGTCGTGAAGACCAACCACTGCTCCATCTATAGGCCACTCCTAAGCACCACTGACCATGTCCACGATTCTCCGGGATGCCCCTGTGGGCCAGATCATCCGGTACATCACCAAGAACAAATACCTACAATACCCCGAAGAGCAAGCCGGCTATGTTCTACGCGACACTTATCAGCGGTTCGACAAGTCGAGAACGGTACCCCAGGCACAACCCAGAGAACTCATACCAGAGGACCTAGAAAAGAAACTCGACGACGACTCTGACGACGCTGGCAGTCTCGATAAAGCCAGGACCGCCGCTGATCGGGAGTCTATGGCACCGTCAGACCGTACGCTTTCGAAGATCATGACGAGGCCAGAGCTCAGTCAAGTCAACACGCGCGCCGACTTGGAGCAAGCCTACACGAACGCAACGCGACAAGAGACGCTCAAGGCTCAGCCCAGCAGGGCCATCGCACCTCAGGTCACCTCGGATGGTGTCATTTTGGTGGACTGGTACGCAACAGACGACCCGGAAAACCCGCAGAACTGGTCGCGAGGCAAGAAATCGATCGTCGTGTTGCAGATCTACCTCTATACCCTGGCTGTCTACATGGGCTCAGCCATATTCACGCCCTCGGAACCGTACCTTGTCGAGAAAATGGGCATCTCCCCGAACGTCGCCGCGCTGGGTCTGTCGATGTACGTTCTCGGTTATGGTATCGGGCCTCTGATATGGTCTCCCTTGTCCGAGATCCCTGTCATTGGACGAAATCCCCCTTATATGCTTACCTTGGGCATCTTTGTGGCCCTCTGCATTCCCACCGCCCTTGTCAGCAGCTTCCCCGGCCTCATCGTTCTGCGATTTCTGCAAGGCTTCTTCGGCAGTCCTTGTCTCGCGACTGGCGGCGCGTCGATTGGCGATATTTACTCACTACTCAAGCTCCCTTATTTCCTGACCGGATGGGCAGCCTTCGCTACAGCGGGACCTGCTCTCGGCCCGATTATCAGCGGCTTCTCTGTCCCCGCCACGAACTGGCACTGGTCACTGTGGGAGATTCTCTGGCTTGCAGGCCCGGTGTACATCTCCCTCTTGTTCCTGCTTCCCGAGACGTCCTCGGCCAACATCCTGCTCCGCCGCGCTGCACGCCTCCGAAAATTGACTGGCAATACCAACCTCAAGTCCCAGGGTGAGATTGACCAAGAGAAATTGACGGTGAATGAAGTTGTGGTCGGCAATCTGTGGCGGCCTGCTCAGATCAACATTCTCGACCCGGCTGTCTTGTTCACCTCGCTCTACACGGCATTGATGTACAGTATCTTCTACTCCTTCTTCGAGGTATTCCCGCTGGTCTACGCAAACGGCAACCCAGGCAAGGCCACGCGTGGGTATGGAATGAACCTGGGAGAGATCGGGCTGATCTTCTTGTCCATCTCTGTTGGCGTCAGCATCGCCATCGCATGTTACGTGGCCTACCTATACTGGGTCTTCGAGCCGGAAGTCCGGACAAGGGGCCTGGGAGAACCAGAGAGACGGCTGATACCAGCTCTTCCTGCGACATTCCTGCTGCCTATTGGTCTTTTCTGGTTCGCATGGACAGGTGACAGTTCGCCAAAGATCCATTGGATCGTGCCTACTGTAAGTTCGATATCATTCTCCTTTTGGATGGAGCAATGCTAACTCTTGTTTCAGCTGGGCGTGGTCGTCTTCACCATCGGCATCTTCATCCTCTTCCAGTGCATCTTCCTGTACATCAACCTGACGTATCCTCAATACGCGGCCTCGCTTTTCGCTGGCAACGACTTCGCCCGGTCGTCAATTGCTGCGGCGGCGATCCACTTCTCCCGTCCGTTATTCCACAACCTGGGTGTCGGCCGTGGTGTCAGCTTGCTTGGTGGGTTGACCGTGGGTGGCATTATTGGTGTCTTTGTCCTGTGGCAATGGGGTGCGAACTTGAGAGCGAGGTCGAGATTCGCCGCCAAGTAGTGGACTTGGGAAGAAGAGTCGTCAGATGGCTTAATATGCTTGTTACGAGGTAACGATATTGTGGTTGTTGGCTTCGGTTTCTGCCTTAGCGAGCGATGGCGCTTCGGGAGTGGAATAGTGGTCTCTGGCGTCAACCGCGCCTTCGGTACACAGGCTACGTGTACTTGTATAATGAAATAGAAGATGCTCTATTGTTCATCCGCACGTCGGGATGACACTACAAGCGGCCTAACAGGTGCCGCCATGGACCAGTGGGCTTCAGTTATTGAGCCCTCACTTTTGTCTCACCCAATCATTGTTAGACGCTTGAAATGACGCAGCGGCTGCGGGACTCGAACTCAACTTCGCAATCCCTCGCTTGAATCGCGATCGCGGCCAGGACCACCATTTCGACGACTGTGGGAAGGGAGTAGCCATGCGTTGACATTCATATCGTCGGCGCGATGGCGCTAGATCTTGACGCAGGGTATGTGGCTCCTGGCCTGGGGTCAGGCAATGGAGTCGAGACGACGCTGCCCATCTTCAACGTTGAACGAGTGCAGCTGCAGTTCAACATCGCTTCCGACTTTGTCGCCGGTCAGGTTGCCAACAATGTCCTGATCCTTGCCCTCGCTACAGGGCGCATTCTTCGCATAGATCTAGAGAGCCCCTCGGACATTGATGGTCTGGTGGTTCCCACACCCAGTCGTCGGCAGGCAGCTAACCAATTATCCCAGACGTTGACCTCCCCAAGAAGACGAGCGAGGTCGGCCTCATCCGCCGTCTGTTCCTCGACCCTTCGGCATTTCATCTGATCATTTCTACCACCCTGGGCGAGAACTTCTACCTCCATAGCCAGTCGAAGCAGCCCAAGGCCTTGTCCAGATTAAAGGGTGTGTCCATTGAGTCAATCGCCTGGAATCCCTCACAACCAACCGCGTCTACCCGAGAGATCTTGGTAGGGGGCACAGACGGCAATGTCTACGAGATATATATTGAGCCGGCATCAGAATTCTACAGGCGGGAGGAACGGTACTGCACACAGGTGTGGAAGATCCCAGACGGCGCCGTGACGGGCCTCTGGGCAGAGACAATTGATGGCAAGGCCGAAGTGCGGAGGGTCATGGTGGCATCGCATACACGGCTATGTCACTGGATAGGAAAGACGAGCGGCCGGGGAAAAGAAGGCTCAGCGTCGATTTATGCGGACCTCTTCTCGAAAGAAGCACCTACCGTTCATGACACTACCGGCGCCACGGCAAATGCGCCCTCGTCCTTCTCCGTGTCGCCTGAGTCGCAGGACGCTGGGGGCGAGTCGTCCCGCGGCTTTGCGTGGCTGTACTCTCAGGGCGTGCTCACCGGCAAGCTGTCCACCTCGCCTGCGTCATCCGCTCTAGGCAACAAGATTTTCGGCGAGTCCAAGCTACATCCCCGCTCCGTGTTTCCAGAGACGATATCTGCACGTGGAGGACGGAAACTGATCCAAGACCCCATCGTCTCGGCCGTCTTGTCACAATGGCACGTTCTGGCACTTGCGGAAGGTCGCATCGTTGCCGTCAACCGTCTTGACGGTAGCGTCGTCTACGACCAGACGGTCCTGGAGCCCGGCCAGACTGCACTAGGGTTGGTGGCAGACCAGAAGAAGAACACCTACTGGCTGTTCACGAACCAGGAAATATTCGAGGTGGTTGCCAACGAGGAGGAGCGGGACATTTGGAAGATCATGTTGAAACAACAAGACTACGACGCGGCGCTCCGCTATGCCAAAGGAGCGGCACAGAAAGATTCGGTTGCGACCGCTTCAGGCGATTTCTTGTCGAGCAAGGGCCAATATCTCGAGGCAGCAGGTGTATGGGGCAAGAGCAGCAAGGCATTTGAAGAGGTCTGCCTGTCATTGATCGACAACGGGCAAGAAGATGCCCTGCGAAAGTACTTGACGGCTAAACTGGGCTCGTACAAGAAGTCCTCGATCATGCAACGGGTGATGATAGCGACGTGGCTCGTCCAGATATTCATGGCCAAGCTGAATTCCTTGGACGATATGGTGGCGACCAAGGCGGAGCTGCTCGAGGATACCGATGCTGGTGGAGCGAAGCGAGACCTTGAGAAGACCAGAGGCGAGTTCCAGGACTTTGTGGCCCGGCACAAGTCAGATCTCGATGCACAGACGGTGTATGAAGTCATTTCCAGCCACGACCGGGAGGACGAGTTGCTCTTCTTTGCCAACACCATCACCGACTACGACTACGTCCTGTCGTACTGGGTACAACGAGAAAAGTGGAACGAAGCACTCTCGGTGCTCAACAAGCAGAGCAACCCGGAAACATTCTACCGGTATAGTAATGTGCTCATGGCGCACGTTGCAACAGGCCTGGTGGAAATCCTCATGCGGAGGAGCAACATCGATCCGCAGAAGCTGATCCCAGCACTCCTCAGCTACAACGAAAATGCTGACGTGCCGTTGACCCAGAACCAAGCGGTGCGATACTTGAATTTTGTTGTGACAAACAACTTCGAGGTCCCGGCGTCGGTGCACAATGCCCTTATTTCGATCATGGCGTCGCATCCGTCGGCGTCGGAAAACATGCTCCTGGGTTATCTCGAGAGCCAGCCGTCTCCACCTTTCTACGATGCTGATTTTGCTCTACGGCTGTGCATTCAGCATAATCGGGTCCAGTCATGCGTACACATATACAGCGCCATGGGACAGTATCAGCAAGCCGTTGAACTCGCTCTGCAACACGACGATATTGACCTGGCTGCAATCGTCGCGGACCGACTTGAAGACAATGACAAATTGCGCAAGAGACTATGGCTGCTCATAGCGGAGAAGAAGATCAAGGAGGCGTCGTCTATCAAGGAGGCAATCAGCTTCCTGAAGCGATGCGAGCTGCTCAAGATTGAAGACCTGATTCCCTTCTTCCCGGACTTTGTGGTCATCGACGACTTCAGGGAAGAGATCTGTGAGGCATTGGAGGAGTACTCCCGACATATCGACAACCTGAAGCAGGAGATGGACATATCACAGCACACAGCGGAGCAAATCAAAGCAGAGATCGCGGCCCTGGATCGTCGCTATGCCATTGTCGAAGCCGGAGAACGGTGCTGGATCTGTACACTGCCCGTGCTGAGCCGGCAGTTCTTTGTGTTTCCGTGTCAGCACGCATTTCACAGCGACTGTCTTGGCAAGCGAGTGCTGGAGAGCTCGGGAAGCAGCAAGAGGAAGCACATAAAGGATTTGCAGACCGAAGTCAACCAGGGCTTGAGTATGGGAGTGCAGCGGCAGAAACTGGTGGCCGAGCTGGACGGATTAGTCGCTGAGCAATGCGTGCTCTGTGGGGACTTGGGCATCAAACAGATTGATGAACCGTTCATCCACGAGGGGGACGATGTTGATGCATGGGCTATCTGAGCGTCGCTTCAGACCACAAGGCAGCAAGGCTTTGGGCTCCGCACGCCCCGTTGACGCTCACGTCCAGGATGCCCTTGGTCGGCCTTTATTTTATGAGCGACCGGTCGATCTTTTGGTGGCCGGGACCCGTTGCTCACAAAAAAGTCGGGCGCAGCACAGCGCAAGACATGGCATCCCGAGTCCAGGCCGAGCGATGATTTGCCATGCGCGATCCGGCGTTCCCACCTTACTCAGCGTCACGGAGTCAAGTCTTCAACAAGCAGGAAATGAAGTGGTGATATGGTCCTTGTTAAATGGCCGTCGGAGTCGTCCTCGCTCTGATCCAACTGTGCGATAATTAGACTAATATCAAGCAGGCGAACATCGGGTCAAGGCTGCCATCCCTTATCTCGCCGTTCAGCCTGATGCTCACGCGGTGGCATTCAGTTTCGCCCCGCTTGGCAGGATACAAACATCAACGCAAGATGCAGTACACTACGAGTACGATATCATAAAACTCATGATCCTGTCCTTTTTCTGCATTTACTTCTGTTCATACGCAATTGATCCTAACTCCATCCCTCCACCAACTACACTAAACCCACTTCACACCACTTCAACCCGCTTGTCCTTATCAGCCACACTAAACACCTCGACACCCATATCGTCCGCCAACCACCATCACTACTATTGATGAATACTTATCCGCCCGAGCACCCTTCTGGCAGTCCCACCATGACGAATACGAAGGGCTTCACCGTCTTTGCTAGACCATCCACCGCGACATCGACGTCGCCATATAAGATGTACGACCCTTCCACGCGAATACCGTCCCCACCCAATTCGGACGACGAGCAGAGCATTGGTTCCTCGTCTAATGAGAATGGCGCGGGTATCGAGACACCCAGTGGTACAGTTGTATCATCGACGGGGACGACAGATTCATCGGGTCCTTCTGGATTACCTAGCGCTGCTTCATCGACAACCACTGTTTCCTCGCCTCCTTCCGAACCCGACAAGCCCCGCTCACGGCATCGAATCGATTTCTCAAGACCACAAAACATATTCGCCGCAGAATCCGCGACCGACAACGCAGACACGACTTCCCCCTCCTCCCTATGGTACATCCTGACCACGGCCCTGCTCCTCGCGTTCCACAAGGAAAAGCTCATCGCCGAACTGTGGACGTACCTGACCACCAGCCAGGACAACACCGACGACCACCTCCTTACCGTAGCCCGCCACATCCGCGAAGCAACCCTCAAAGCCAGCACGCTCGTCGGCTTCCCCCGCGCAATCAACGCACTACTCACCCTCCACCGCGCCATCCAATCCAGCCACCCATCTCTGCACACCACTCTGCAGGCGGACTCGTCCCTGCGCTCGACCCCCTGGTTGAGCCGCGCGGACAAGTTTACCCGCGGCATGGCGCTGTTTGAGCGCATCTACGCCCACCACACGCCCCGCGTCGTGGCCACCATGTCGAGCTGCTCGGGCGGGGACCTGACGCATTTCGCCATCCAGTGCATCTACGGCGAATTGCTGGCTGAGAGTGCCATTATTGGCGACCTCGAGACGGGGATGTTGGAGTTTGTGTGCTGTCTCGCGGACGGGGTCGCGCCGCAGGCTAAGGGCCATTTCTTTGGGAGTGTCAATCTGGGGGCCACTAACGGACAACTTCGCGGGGCTGTTTTGTTGGCGGGGGAGTTGGCGAGGCAGGTGGGCGTGCCGTGTGCGTGGCTTGGAGAGGGGGAGGCAGCGGATGACCAACAGGAGGGGAAGATGGTGGATGAGTGGAAGTTCTTGAAGCGGGTCATGTAGATCTCGAGGCAGAGGGAAGGGGGGATGGGGGCATGGGTGACTGGATCGCCCTGGGTGGCAAGTAGTACGGTATGCACGGTATAGAGATGGCAAGCTTTTTCTGTTAGCGTTCAGCGAGGTGTAGAAGAGAGGACAGAGGTGGGGTCCTGCGAAGTAGTCCGGGTATAGACTAGATGGGCTGTCCCGCATTGTGGTAGAGTACCGGTTTGGTATGGGTGATTATGGAATTATAAGAGTAAGGTACAAGTAGAGGAGAGGGAGCGGACCTAGGTACTCTACAGTGCCGTGTGCCTCGTTCCAAACGGGTTCATACGGACTTCCCAGTCCAGTAGTCCGTGCTACACAGTACATACACACAGTCTCTCACATACACACACAACCTATCCGAGTCACCTCTGGTGCATCGGAACCAGCACCCGCCCGTAAGTGGATTGCTCCACGTCGTGTTTCCGAGGCGGGAGCGCAAAAGCGCAGACACGAAGGCAGGCTTCGTGCTTGGTGGAGACTGTCTGTACATACATGTAGACGGCTCCTACCGCTTCCTACTGGTTCGTATGCTGTTTGCTGTACCCAGTACACAAACAAGACAGGGTGGCCTGCATGGGTGACTTGTCCGTCATTACCACTTATATGCCTCTCCCCCGTCCCGGGCGTCACGACGGCTGAAAAGACTGGTGGTGGGGAGATACTCCGCTATTCTGTGGGAGAATATATGATGGGCGGTGCCGGCTCAATGATCACACGGGACAGAAGGGGGAAAGAAAAAGAATCATGTCACCATGTTGGAAGAAGCACCAGTTTAGAAGTACTGTTAGGCGACCATGTACCTAGGTGATTAATTAGAAGCACATATGTACAGTAGACCAACTGAGAAGAAACCGAGTGGCCACCATGATCGGGCATAGATATTCCGCCGTTGTACTTTTCTGTGCTGCGCTCGTGAGAGATAGAGATACTGTGTGCTGTGCTGTGCTGAGTTGGGAGAATTGCTCGGACCCTACCTCAATGTCATGATGCCTTGAAGAGGGCTGGGGGCGGTCGCTTTGCGGTGAGATTGGTAGAGCAGCGAATACAAGACAGCGGGACATTAGTACTCGGGTTGGGTCCGGGAGGAGAGGCTTTGCCAGTACGAGGACGATCGCAAGGAATTACAAACGGGCACTCATACTAGTTACGCAATGCTCGTTTGGGAAAAGAGGCACACGAGCAGTACCCGTAACAAGGTGCTTGATTTGGAAAAGAGGCACGCGAGCAACGGTTCCAAAGCAGAATGACGTTTTCACGTCGCTGCGGTATTGATGATACATTTGGAGCAATGTTTGTATATGTACAGATCGGCGAGTGGTCCATCCTCGCGAGGACCACATCTAGCTATGTTCATCTAGTCATCTAGTCATGCGCCTTTCGTGCCTGTGTCCGTTTACCGAGATAAGCCTGACGCCTGCCCTGAAGTCGAAGCCGAAGCCGAAGCTGAGAGTCAAAGCTGCCTTGATGCCACTTCACTCCTTCGGTGCAAAGTGCAGCTTCAGGATTTCCTTCTTGTTAACCTTGCCCATTGCGTTGCGCTCGATCGAGTCGACCAGCTTCAGGATGGACGGGACTTTATATGCTGCCATGTCTTCCTTCAGGTGTTTGCGGAGGGTCGCGAGATCCAGACCAGTAGTAGTCGCCTGTATGCAGGTTAGCAGGGCTCCAGCACGGCTGTAGCAATGGGCCGAACTTACCGAATCCTTGAGCTTCACGACGGCCGCGACTCGCTGGCCCCACTCCTCGTTCTCAACGCCCACGACGACAACCTCACTGACGAGAGGGCTCAAAGCCTCGTTCCCCAGAATCTTTCGCTCGACCTCCAGCGCGGAGATTTTGTACCCGCCGCTCTTGATGATATCCACGCTGTCTCGGCCAAGAATGAAATAAGCGCCGTTGGCTTCTCGCTTCGCCACATCACCAGTCTTGAACCATCCGTCCTGTGTGAACGACTCGGCAGTCGACTCGGGCCGTCGGAAATACTCCAGGAACAAATTGGGTCCTCTGATCTCAATCATACCCGACTCATCCTGACCCGATGAAGTAATGATCCGGCCAGATTTCTCCTCGGTCAGTCGAACTTGCACGCCGGGTAGCGGCCAGCCAACGCTCCCATCTATCCGCTGGTCACGCTCGAGACCACAGGACAAGCCCATTCCGATTTCGGTCATGCCGTATCTCTCGAGGAGCTCGTGTCCGGAGATTTCTTCGAACTTGCGCTTCGTGGCGATAGGAAGGGCCGCCGAACCCGAAACGATGAGACGAAGAGCTTGAACTCCTTCCCGCGCCGTTGACTCGGAGGGCGTGCCGCGGATGTTGGTGTCGAAATAGTCAATCAAACGCGAGTACACGGTCGGAACGGCCATGAACATGGTCGAGGAGCCCTTCTGCGACCATCTGCTCCAGACCGTCTTGGCATCGAATTTAGGGTACATCTCTACGGTGCCCCCAGCGAGGAGCGTCGCGGTAAGTCCATTGATGATGCCGTGGACGTGGTGAAGAGGAAGTACGTGGATGAGGTGGTCGGAGCGATCATATTTCCAGGCTTCCACTAAACTTCGTGCTTGGAAGACGATCGTTTCGTGGGTTGAAATGCAGCCCTTCGGTCGCGACGTCGTTCCCGAAGTATAGATCATCAGTGCTCGTCGTGACAGGGGGAAAGACGTTGTGAACCTCGGCAGGAATGGGAAGTTTTTCGAACTTTGGGTGAGTGGCGTAACGGGGACGATGGGGACGGCAGACCCGGCTTGCTCTTGCAAGCCGGCCTCGAATTTCTGAAATGTCGGGTGGAGGAGTATCAGGGATGGATCTGAGTCGGAAATGGTGTACTGGAGCTCTTTGAGCGGGTGAGATGTGCACAGCGGCACAGCGACAGCTCCAGCTGCCCAAACCGCCCATTGAGTAACAACGTAATCGTATCCAGCAGGTGCGAGGAAAGCTACCCTCGGTTCTTCCGAATGGCTGGAAACTGTAGGATCATAGCCGGACAGGTATTGCTGTATTTGAGCTTTCAATGCAGCTACATCGTTCAAAAGTTGGACGTAGGTAAAGCTCTGGTCCTTAGTCTTGTCGACGATGGCGACTTTGTGAGGATCGGCAAGAACAACAGATCTGGCGGCAAGAAAGAGTGGTAGTTCAGGTAGTGCCGGGTTGTCTTTGCTCAGATTCCTCGAGTGTCCATACGAGGGCACGCTCGAGGGGAAGAAGTCAAGCCGTTGACCGGCAGGAAAGTGCCAGTCATGGTGGCCGGGAGAAACGGGGACCTCGATGCTCATGATTGCTGTGGATTGCTAGGCTTCTCGTCGCAAAGGTGCTGAATGAAGTGTCTGACTTGGTCTCTGTGACCGACGGGCAATATATGGATGCCATCATATAAAAAGTTCTTCCGACGATCCAATTTCATTGGGAACCCAAAAATGGAACCGGACACCCCAACAAAAGACTAGGGGGTGACGATAGTCTGGGCAATCTGGGGGATTGTGGAAGCGGAAGACCGACAATGAGGCAATAAGAACCAGGGTCACGATCCGGAGTCCACGGCCATTTTTCAATCGTCGAAAAAAATGGGCAAATCTCAAAAATCCCCTTTAGGAGTAGTGGGCTTGCGTGTGCGTGGGCAAATGCTGGGCCGTGGTTTCTGCGCTCAGCAGCCGGTGCCCTGCCCTAAGTTAGTCATGCGGTCACGTTGCAAGGCACGTGCGGGGTTGAGGGGTACGGTGGGCACTGGTAGGGTCGCAGCTGCTGGTTAATTTCATTTTTCGTGGACTCTCACATCGTACACAATGAAACCAGCTGGCTCCATGATACCTCTCCTTCTTATACATATGGCCACATCCTTGCATCGCGATGAGCTCTAGTCAGCAGCATCTATTTCACGATGGCAAAATACAATGTCGAAGCTTATGCTGGGAGCCACCAACAGGGAAAGAGAATTAGCTGGCTAAATGCACAGTGCCACGAACGAAACAGCTTGAATATAGCCGACAAAGGAGCTGCTCAGGCGACTACCCCGTGCCGATCAGGAACATGGCGTCGGGCTATCAGCCACCGAACACACAGCTTGCCCTGATCTCTCCGCATTCCGGGGTTTGGCTTGTTGCAACCTCCACCTTCCGAGAGAGCAACTGCCTGGTGCTTCTGACGGAGACAGCAGTGGTCGGTGCAATGATCGCCATGCATCCGGCGCTGGACTTCATGACGCCAGCGAGCAGGCGTGCGCGTAAGCTCATTTAAAACCTGTCCCTGACCCAGGATATCAAGAGAGCCAGTATCGATTCCCATATCACTACCGAGAACCACGGCTCAGAATGGCAACAAGGACTGGTATACGTGTCCTACGCCTTCTTGGGCTGCTACTATCATGTGTATTCTTGGTCCATGGTGCCAAGATCGATCGCAAGGCCGTGGTGCAACCGTTTAACCCGAAACGAAATGCGAGCGCAGACACCCCGATGCAGGTCGGCAATGGAAACTTTGTCTTCTCAGCAGATGTGACTGGCCTTCAGACTTTTGTCCCTTTCAACACGCTGTCTAGCTGGGGTTGGCACAACTCTTCTCTCCCTACCACTCCAGGCCAAACGTCCATTAGCGACTTCACCGGGTTGCAATGGTGGACCCATGGACGTCTGGTCACGTACGAGTAAGTCTGCGCAGGCTCCGTAACCCCATGTCCATGGATGGCTTTCCTCACAGAACGGCCGGGAAGCTTCTGTTCGAGATGTAGCTGAAGAACGATGCTAACACCAGGGCCCTGTAGCCAGCCAAATCCTGCAGAAGCAAACATCTCGCAATGGTTGATCGCCAATCCTCATCGGATAAATCTGGTTCGGATCGGCCTGAACTTCCAAGGCAACGCTGTCAGCGAGGACGACCTCGAAGACAAGAGTCAGTCACTGGACCTGTATTCGGGGCTCCTCCATTCCACGTTCTCCTTGAAAGGAAGCAAAGTCAGCGTTCAGACTGCGGTCGACCCCAACAGTGACACAGTCGCCGTGCAAATAAACTCCACCCTATTGAGCTCCGGTGCTCTGGGAGTCTTCTTCGACTATCCATACGCCACAGGACAGAACAAATTTGATGCCCCATTCGTTGGTCTCTTCAACGCCACCACAAACCATACAACCTCCCTGAAAGCTCAGAAGCAGTCAGCGGTTGTCCAGCACGACCTCGACGCAACAACATATTTTACTACCGTCCGATGGGTGGGAAATGCCAGTATGACCGGTCCAAAGCCGTCAACTCATCGTTATTTCTTGACGCTAAACCAGGGCAATCGGTTTTCTTTCACGGCGAACCTTGCCCCGGCTCAGGCCAGGACCGTTGTATCTGCCCAATCTGTATTCGACTCCTCAGCTGCATGGTGGCATTCATACTGGAACCGTGGTGCCTTCATCTCCTTACCTTCAGCGCAAAATTCAGACGCAAAGGAGCTTCAGCGGCGCATCATCCTCTCGCAATACCTTGTGACGATCAATGAGGCTGGACGAGATCCACCACAAGAATCAGGCCTGACGAACAATGGTTGGTACGGAAAATTCCATCTTGAAATGGTGTGTTGGCATTCTTTGCACTTCGGACTCTGGGGAAAGGAAGATCTGTTGGAGAGGCATGACTCCATCTATAGCCGATTCCTGCCTACCTCGTATCAAAGAGCACGGGAGATGGGCTACGAAGGCGCCCGATGGGGTAAAATGTCTGATCCGTCAGGTCGTTCAGCTCCAGGAGAGATCAACTCGCTGCTAATTTGGCAACAACCACATCCTTTTTATTTCGCTGAAGCCGAGTACCAACGCCGTCCCAGCAACAAAACACTCCAGAAATGGGACGAAGTCCTCACAGCCTCTGCGGATTTCATGGCGTCATACGCTTTCCACAACCAATCTCTGGATGTTCTGCAGCTAGGCCCACCAATGTACCCAGCTTCCGAGAACACCAACCCGAATGCCACAGTCAATCCCACGTTCGAGCTCGCCTACTGGCGATGGGGACTGGACATCGCGGCACAGTGGAAGCAGCGCCAGAACAAGACAGTACCACACGCCTGGACTTCCGTTGCCAATAATCTGCCGCCCATGCCAGTGGAGAATGGTACCTACGTGATATACACCGGCGTGCCTGACATGTGGAACGATCCTACTTTGACATCAGACCATCCAAGCATGGCCATGATCAATGGCTTCATCCGACCACCACCGGATTTCAACTTTACCATCTTCAACAACACGATGAACAGGATTTATCAGACCTGGAACTGGACAGAGTCATTCGGCTGGGATTTTCCCATGGTGGCAATGGCAGCGGCACGGTTGGGCGATTTCGGTCGTGCCATCGACTTCCTGCTGCAACCGAACTTTCCCTTTGATGATGTAGGTATGCCTATTGGTGGTACAAGAGTACCGACGCCCTATTTTCCCGGCAGTACATCGCTGCTGATGGCTGTCGCGATGATGGCCGGCGGCTGGAAAGATGCGCCGGGTCTGAAGTTCCCTGCCGACTGGGACGTGCAGGCGGAAGGATTCAAGCCCTTGTTCTTTTAATCTGCGATGAGTTCGAGTCGCGACCAGACTCAACTGCTGTGACCCCGTAGTCATTCAGTCAGCTTGGGGTCGATCGAACGTGACTTTTGTGAGTACAGTCCCGACAGATGAAGCAAGAGCAAGCCAAGCTGGCCTGTCTAGGAACATTTTTTCTCCTTGTGGAGTGAGGTGTCTCAGGTCAACATGAAATCTGGACTTCTCCTTACTCTTAGAGATCCTCCTCGACCTGTCTGATTCAAATGCTCGCTTTGCAGGACATGCCTCGTGACCTACACACGTCAAGGGGAGTAAGTCCGCGCTCCAAAAGAGCATATTCGGACCAGCCAGTGGTTGTGTGTCAACCACCAGGGCATCGAGAGATGATATTCGAGCTTCAACGAATCAACTCTTTGCCTGACTAACAGTCGTGTTGCTCTCCTACCCGTTTCATACGAGGACCCCTGGACCGCTCGTGTGCTCAATGCTCATTCCACGAACCCCGCCCGAGATCTCTAGGCAACACGGCATGCGACCCCTCGCTCGTGTGGCAGCATGAAGAAGACTACATGTATATGACTTCAGGTCCTCCTGAAGGGCACTCGAGCTTTTTGTAGCTGAGTACCTTGCGTATTCTACAGGACCAACATTGCTTCAGACGATTCGCAGTATACTAATCGTCTGGCCTAGACATCTTGACTTTACGAGACCATGTCCTCCGACAGCAAACCAACAACAGCCCTCCCAACAGGTGCTTCCCACCGGCGCTCCAGCAGCGGAATCTCCGAAGACGCAGCACGGTCGGCCCACGAATTCATGAGCGGCACGATTCGGCGCTCGTCCAGCGGTGTCACGGACGATGCGGCCACAGCTGCCCGGGAGGTGAGTACGCCGCGTCCCTGGACAATCGTCCCTTATCGGGTGCACTTCAAGCAAGCACAGTCCAAGGGCGATTACTCGCGGTCGGACGATCTGCCTGTGCCTTGCATGCATTCATGGGGAGCGCTCGAAGCACCAAACCGCCCACCCAAGCTTGCTGCTTGACGCCATACCATTCATTCATGTTAGCTAACTCCGAATTCTTCGCCCATCCGCAGTTCATGAGATCCTCCAAGGACTCCGGCCCAGGCCTGAACGACGACCTCGCGGACAAGATGCACAAATTCATGCAAGGACCCGCCACGCACAGGGAAAGCCACAGCAAGCATCTGCCGGACGTGACGGTGAGTGCATACCTTAGCTTTTCAGTATTGATCGGGAAGGTGTGGGTGCTTGCTCATTTCATGCTCACGTTCATGCTCTTGCGCGAGCTTGGCATCTTCCGTGGTATGGATGAATGAATGATTGATTGATTGAATGGATGGATGCATGCATGCATGCATGATTCAGCAGCAGTCCCGAGCTCAGTTGGCACTACCAGACCATCCCGTGGCAATGCTGACTCGATACCCGGTATCACCAGCTCCCGGGCATCACCGACGAAGTCGCGGAAGAGGCCCTCGAGTTCGTGGACGGAGTAGAGAAGACAGGAGGATCGGCACAGGAGAAACCCCGAGATAAGTAGTACGTCCCCTGTCACGTTCCCGGCTGGGTGGTTGGTAAATTAAGCTCCCAAAGCTGACTGAATCCTCGCCCGATAGGCACGAAGTGAGGTTTTCGCTTTTCGCCATGAGTATTCTCCCGAGCAAGCCCTATGACCGTTGACTGCTGTTGTTCATGTCGAGTTCGGTAGTGTCGCGTGGGGTGGATGGAAGCCATCGACGGGCAACGGTGATATTGTGGAGCATCCAAATTGTACGAACATGCGGAAAGCACAGTGGAAATGCGTAGTGGTAATATAATATGCTGTCGTATGTTAGTATGGAATAGTCCCTGCAGAAAAGTCATTCAGCGGTTCGCAAGCCCCTCCCTCGAGAGGAAGATGGTGTGTGTCCTGAATATCAACTCGGGTATGTACAACCAGCGCCAGTCACGAGGAGGTCTCTTATATAATTACCTACTAGAGTAGAGAAATCTGGCTGGTAACGGTAATTGACGAAACCCCACTGGCTTTAGTGTAGCACGAGTGAGCGGTTGCAGATCACGCCTCCGTCTAGCTGTGAGACAACGCCATATCAGTCCCCCTGACGTGGCATACAATGGACTGGGATGCTGGCTGATATGCTTCCGGAAGCTAGACGAGGCGAACTCCGAGGTTCACTTGCGCCTGGGAAAAGATGCGATTGTATTGATTGCGCTGGTAGTCAGAGAAGGATGAGGTGAGCTGTTGAAGCTGGGACTGTGAACTGACACGCACGCACTGCCCTGTACGTACAGTAGCAAGCGGTACGGATCGGCGGCCGCTCGTGTTCAAGAAGGCATCCGCATCCGGTCCATGAGTCTAAAGTCCTGCAGACATCTGATCTGAAGATGCCAGCGTTTCAGGTTCTTGGGACAAATGAAGCAGAGAGCCTGGGAAAGGTAGGCACTCGCCGAGTCACTTCAGATTCCCATGCGAGTCGCCGCCAACACAGCCACGTACTTCAAGGTGGGACCGCACATGCATAGCGACCACCATGTCCCTAACGACGAGACACTGTCTTCTCCCTTCGTGCTGCGCTCTGATAGCATGCTACAGTAAATCCCGAGCAGTGGACAGACTCTCGCATACGCCCCGCTATGAGTTCGACTTGCGTTGCTGTCCAACCTTGATATTCTTACACACGATTGAATCACAATGACACATCCGTCATGGTAGTCTAGAGTCCAGATTCGGTCTTTCCAACTCTTTCTTTCCGTTTGCCGTTGTCATATCCAGAGAATTGGGTTAAGGAGGATCCTTCTACATCATATTCATCAGGGGACTGTTGGTTGCGTATGCCTGGCAGAATATTAGTGAAAGTGCTCAATGCGCGCTGACAATGCATGCGCTTACCATCGGCTTGATATCAGGATGAGGAACAGCGTCAAACTGATGGTATTCGAGCTTCAACTCGGGGCCGATGTTGATGTAGGCTCCCTTGTTCTCGGTCGTGTCACAGTACTTTGGTGCCGAGAAGACTATAGACAACGGTTAGCAACGGTTCCCCATGGGGAGAATAGATGTAATGGCCTACCCGTTATGCACTTCCCATCGTGCTCGACCTCGTAACCGTCCATCCGCACCTCGTGACTGCGGATCACAGCTTCGAGCCCGTTGTTTTCGCAGAACCTTTTGGTGACATCAGGACCGAACTGTAAGCCTACGCCTCGTTTGCTGGGGCCTCTGCCATTCTGAGGTTGGGGATCTGTCCACAGCATTTCCATCATCAACCCGGCTTGCCCTGGTTGGCGCTGCCCGTGGCGGTCGAGTTTGCGGATGTCGTCCAGCGTGATCTTGTCGTCCGAGAAGAGACCGCCGTGCAGGGTCAGGTACTTCTTGCCGATCAGAGTGGCCAGAGGTAGCGCGGAGAAGGACTCGGAGAAGAGCCTGAAGGTTTTTTCGTTGTACTTGGCCTTGCATTCGCCCTCGAAACCGTACACTCGGTTCATGTCGTCGGTTTCGTGGTTGCCGCGATTCAAGAAAAAGTAGTTGGGTCGTAACCACTTGTACGCGTACAGCAATAATGCGATCTCGGTCGACCACGACCCGCGATCCACAAAGTCACCGTTAAAAAGATACCCTTGCTTCTCTGACGGGTAGCCATTGAGCCGGAAGATCTCTAGCAGATCGAAGAATTGACCATGTGTGTCTCCGCACACCGTCAACTTCGTGTCCGGCAGGACCTCCATCTCGACCATAGTCGGTTCATCGTACACAATGTCCCTTACGGCCTTGATGATCTGGAAAACGTATTTCTTGTGTATCTTCTTGCCATTCTTGAAGCGCTGTATCATGTCGTCAATGAAGTCTTGCGTCATGTCCTGATCTAACCGCACGCCATCGTAACTCTCGTCGACCTCTATTGAGTCCAAGTCCAACCCCTCGAACGCTGAGGGAGGATCTGAGACTTCGATCGCCTTGAGGAAGTTTAGCTTCTTGACCAGCTTTTCGCATTCTGCAAGTTTGAGCTTTGCGTCGCGATTGTTGGGCTCTTTTCGGCACACGGTCCTGAAATCTCGAAGCGCTTCTTGGGGACTCAAGATGGCAGTATTGGCTATTGCTCGTCGCCAGTAAGCCTAGTGAGACACGGTCAGAACGTGCATTTAACACATCACCAAATATGTCATAGGGCCTACCTTGATATAGTCCTTGTCAAGCTCGATGGCCTTTGTGGCGTCGGCGATGGCATAACCGTACGCCTCGAGTTTGATGTTTGCTTGAGCGCGGTTGCAGTAGAACGAGGGGTCTGCCTCGTATTTCTCTATTGCTTTGGTGTAGTAGTCTACAGCAGAGAGCCAGTCGTGGGCAGCAAAAGCCTGGTTGCCCTTGGTTTTCAGGGCAGTCGCCGCGGCCTTGTCCGCAGGCGAAGTCACGGTCATGGTCGCAAAACTCGTATTGCACAAATCCCGACAGAAGAGAAGGTCGCAAACCACAGGAACGAGGTCGACTATGTTATTGGTACATTACGAGGCTGCTGTTGATTTTTGGCAAGTCGTGTGCTTGCATTTACAGGTCTTCCCGCAGGCTTCGCCCCAGCGGCGACTCGAACTTTCTGAGCGTTGTAGGCCCACAAATCGGGGGATCGACCGCCTCGCCCCACGCTTGTGCAGAACGCAGCCTCGACCCTACGGTGGCCCATTCTGGTAGAGGACCCCAAACTCATCTCTAACATCCAAAAATCATAACGCTCTCTCATCACCGTTCCGCTTGCCTTTTGTGAACGTGACCGCATCCGTCATGGCAGGTCGCGGCGGCAGAACCCGCGCGTGTATGGTGTGCTCCATAGTCCAGTCTGACCAGGTAAGATTATGCGCTCCTGTGTTCCCGGTCCTCCGCAACTAACACTCTGACCAGGAGTTCTATCGCAACGGCTGCCCCAACTGCGAAGAGATCCTCCTTTTGCGCAATAATCGAGACGCTATCGGAGAATGCACCTCCCAGGTTTTCGAAGGACTTATTGCTCTAAACGACCCCAAGACATCATGGGTAGCTCGGTGGCAGCGATTGACCGAATATGTTCAAGGCATCTACGCGGTTAAGGTTGTGGGGACATTGCCAAACGAGATCATTGGTGCGCTGGAAGATAATGGAATCAAGTATGTCCCAAGAGACGGGAGTGGAATGGATGAGGATAGCGTTGCGGCTTAATTGCAGACGCGGATTGCGGGACATCGCAAATACAAGAGGCCTTGTTTCTGTTGAGGGGGACGTGGAATGAGGATGGGACGAGGCTAACCTTGCGACTTGCTTGCGCATTCAACGACCTGTCACGCGGTCGAATCTAGCAGTCGCCAGATTTAAATTCCTGGTCCGCAAGGACGCGAGGGAACTGATTCGGAACATCACATTGAGGGTCAGCTAATTGTCATTGCGGCAAAAGCCTCACGTGCCGAGTGAGAACGAAGCAGAAAACAAGCAGCCACCCGCTACAGCTTCGGATGCTACAAGAATTTTCCCAGAAGCATGCGCAATCGCTACAAATTCAACCACAGCAAAATGCTAGTCGCCACGAACGCCAAACTTTTCTGTCTTACAAGGACTTCGCCAACTTCTCGAATGCGTCAAGCAGGATATCGGCATGATGCTTCTGGAAGATCAGCATCGGCCTCAACCTTACTGCCGACACACCACTGCCACCGATGTTGATACCGAGGGTCTTGGCTTTGGCCAGGAACTCGTCTCGCTTGGGGTTGTCAAAGGCAATGAAAGTGCCTCGTCCTTTACCTCTCAAGTTCCGGAAGTGTTGGGGATATTGCTGGGCCAACCTCTCCATATTCGAGAACAAGTAATCGCCCACATGAGCTGTATTCTCCACCAGGTTCAGTCTCTCGATCTCATTGATGATCGCGCGGAAAAGAATAGCTCGAGCGGGGTCACCCATCCAGGTGTTGAACTGCCGGTAGGGCTTGTTCGGTCGCAGCTGGGGGTTCCCGAAGTAGTAGCCCGCCGTTTGGGCTTTCTTTGAAAATGTGACCATATCCGGAGGATCTTGCAAGTTCCAATGCTCGTGAGCCCAGAACTTGCCTGTTGCCCCAACACCTGTCTGGACCTCGTCGACAATCAGGAGTACATTGTTGCGGCGAGTGATTTCCCGGAGGCCTCTGAAGAACGCCGGGCTGGCGTGGTTGTCTCCTCCCTCAGATAGGATGGGCTCGACAACAACGGCAGCCACTGGGTTGTGGTAAGTCTTGATGATGTGCTCAGCCTCTTCCAGGCATCGCTTCTCCTCGGCCTCGTTCTCTTTGACGTGTTCTTCAAGCGGATACTTCAGGACCGGGAAAGGCGCTTGCGGCCAGTCGAAGGCTGGGATATCCATCTTGTGGATGGCCTTGCTGCGCGTGGTTGACAAAGTGCCGAACAGGCGACCGTGAAACGCCGTCTTGAAGGACATGATTGACATATCTGGAGACCCCGGCTTCTGATTGTTCATCGTGCTCTCCATCTCTTCTGGCGTGAACTCGGCATCTGGTCCCCCTCGCTCCTGTTGTCGCTTCCACATAAAGGCGGCTTTGTATGCTGTCTCGTTGGCATCGGAACCGGCCATGCCCGTGAACACTTGATTCATGCCTTTCGGGGCAGCTCGAAGAATCCCCGTCTCGAGAATCGAAGCCCAATCGTGCTGTGGGAAGTTGCCCAACGCGGGCCGGTTGATGATGGCCGACGCCATGTCAGGGCTCGTGGCAGCGAGTAGGAGAGTAGGATTGTTGTATCCGACCGGGATGGACGCAATCTGGGCATACACGTCCAGCAGCACGTTCCCATCCGGGTCTGCGATATAGTTGCCGTAACTCTGTTGGTAGTTCACCAGCATGTTCAGGCTGCGCGTATCAAAGATGCTGTGCAGCTCCTTGATGGCCTTCTGGCTTTTCGGCCCAGGTATGGGCGTGGAGACCCTGGGTCCGACAGGTTCATCAGGAAAGAAGGCTGTCTCAACCGGAGGAGTCTCGACGGCTGCTTGTGCTGCAGCGGCGGCATTGCGGGTCTCTGTAGCGGTTGCGAGGGCGCGAAAAGGTGTAGGTCTTAGAGGCGCCCGGGCCAGACGGCATACGGAGCGCAGGCTCCCCGGGTTTCGTACTAGCGAGGCCATCGTGGTATGGCGCAGCTTTGTGACCACGAGTTCTTGGTCTGGTGTTGGGTGTCTGGTGGGGTTACGGAAGGGTGGTATGGGCAAGCTCGGTTGTTCACTTGCTTCGGGATCCTCCTCGACTAAGCTGCTGACACTGTGCTGTATGATATTGAAGCGGAACTTGACACACGCTGGTCGACGAGCTTCCCATGGGGAAGGAAAGAATTGAAAAGTGTTCGGAGGGATGAAAACACCGTTGAATCACAGGGCGCACTGCAACGACAAGTTGGTGCGGAGAAGCACGCTTTGAATGATTGCTTGGAGTTTCGGATAACGTCGCCTTTTTTCACGGATAGCGATGGCTGCGACGCCTGCTTCAGGAAGGTCTAGGCGGGATGTTGACCACGACATCTTCTACTTATGCGGTACGTAGTAAATTTTCGTCCGTTACACCCCTTTGTCCTTTAGTCCTGCTGAGATAGCCTACATAAAGTTTCCTCACACACGTACAGCTTGTTAGGGGTTGTCCTTGCGCTCAATTCGATCCATCGCCGCCTCGTCGCTCAGGTCTTCCTGGCCAGGAGCTCGGTCTGTACGCGGTCCATCCGACGCGCCTTGTTCAAAGTCGTTGGGCTGAACCTTATGTTCGGTCATGCGGGTTGAGCCTTTCGCGTACGGGTCGTGAGTGACTCCTCCTGGGACATTATGCAGCCTCTTGGAGTCTACCGTGGAGGGTAGAGTATCTCCAGTTCCTGTCAGGATATCTTGTGCAGATGTATCCCTGGTGGTCTGTTCAAGGTTAGTTGTTGCTCTAAATCGAATCAAATGTACATATAGTTGACATACCCTCGGAATGTCGCCCGCATTGTCTGCAGCGCCTGCAAGAGTTGAACCTCCAAGCGCGTTCGGATCATTAGCCGAAGCTACCTGATCTGGCCGTGCCACTGAGGGTATGGTTCTAGGCTGTGCCGAGTCCTCTGGTACCTTCGTTCCCTTCTGTGCCATATCAAAGAGGTCGCCCCCGCTGTTTCGTCCGGATTCGGCCATCTTGATATTGTGTTTCGATTCTTCGAAAGTTGTTGGCGTCTGTAAATGTGTTCGTTGAAGGTCCTTGTGGTGCTCTGATTATGTTTGGTTAATGCTTTTGATTATGTTTGGTTAATGCTTTGGAAACAGAGAAAGACCAGCTGAAGTGTGAGGATTTATTCGTCGGTCCTGGGCCGATCAACGGGTCGTGTGCTCAATGTTCTTTTCGTCATCCAGGGCCAAAGATGATGTCACAGATGCCCTCCTCGTTTGTGCTCGTACCACAAAACTGTCGCGTTCGACTCCATTGGGAGCACTGGCCATACTGTGTACTACGTGACCCTATCACGTGCCTCGACTGGTTGAGGCGCGAAATACTACAACGTTCTCGCCCATGGAAACATCGCATGGAGGCTGCAAAAGCAGTACTCGTGGTGGCGCGCTGGTGCTGGCGCTTGCATCCCGCCTCTAACGTGCTATGGCCGGGCCATCCCCGCATTTGGGGAGATGCCGAGGTTCGCTGCACCAACGACGGATCCAACGACTGTTGACTTGAATCTCAAACTTATCACATCTCTCGCCTAAAGACCATAGAGATCTGGTGGTGCGGCATTCTATCATTAACCCGTTTCAACTTGTCAAATGGACTGTTCATATTGATTAGAGCAGCCTTTTTCTCGCCCGGTTCCAAGAAACCACATTCTTCGCTCCCTGCGAGGTCAATACAAGATGTACGGTCCAAACAATGGCGTTGTCCTTTACCATTATTCCTTTTCGCCCGTGGCGAGGCGCGTGTTGTGGTACTTGAGTCTGCGAGGCATCGATTACGCTGAATGTGTAAGGCCCTTCACCTTGGGTTCACTCCTCAGTGGTACTGAACGATACAGAAACAACCCCCGGTTTTACCCAGACCCGATGTCGCTACGTTAGGAATCAAATATAGGAGAATTCCTTTGATGGCCATAGGACGAGATATCTATTGTGACAGTCGGATCATCCTCCGCAAATTAGAAGCACTTTTCCCTGACAGTGCCTTGAGCGCTTCAACGGGCGAGCAGAAGGCCGTGGAGAAACTGTTTGAGATATGGACCATGGAAGCAGGCTTGTTCCCGAGGGCATCCCAATTGATCCCAACAAGTATGCCGCTTCTGAATGATCCTCATTTCACGAAAGACCGAGAGGACTATTCCGGGCGCTCTTGGAGTAAAGAACAGATCGAGGCCAACAGGCCGGAGGCTTTGGCTTCAATCAGGAGTGCTTTCAAGGTTCTCGAGACCACCTTATTAGCAGATGGCCGCGACTGGGTGCTGAAAACGGATCATCCGACCCTGGCCGATATTGAAGGTAAGCAGGAAGTACACTGCGTCGCTATCAATCCACTAATGCAAGTGCCCAAAGCTATCTGGACGTTTGATTGGCTCAATGGGTTGAAGGGTGCTTTGCCCCGGGAATTGATCTCTGACAAGAAATATCCCAAGGTCTTCGCGTGGATAGCGAGGTTTAACGATGCCCTCAAGGCTTCCAAAGCCAAGGCACCGAAACCGGCAACTCTCAAAGGGGACGTTGCAGCTGAGCGGATCTTCAACGCTTCCTTTGTCGAGAAGGACCTGGCCGTTGACCCGGCCGATCCTCTAGGATTGAAGCGAGGCACCGAGGTCGAAGTGTTCCCGGTCGATTCGGGCACCCATCACCGTGACCAAGGCCGCCTCATTGGGCTGACTGAGGACGAAGTTGTCCTGGGCATCCAAGCGCAGGGGAAGGAGCTCCACCTGCACTATCCGCGCACAGGATTCCGCGTCAGAGCAGTGGCAGCCACTGGAGGAACACCATCTAAACTGTAACCATGGCCGCGGATCAACCACTTACAGCACGCAAGCGTCGTTGTAAGCGTCTGTAGTGCCTCCGGGTCTCTTTCTGTCGTGGGCAGGAGCGATCGAGCGTCACCCTTGCCCGAGTTACGCAGTGAACGAGATGCTCAGCCCAACCGAGACACTGATGATTCTCTGTGTGTTGCCGTTCTGAATGCTATCCTTGATGTCAGAAGACTGGAAAGCCAGAGCACCGAGTCGCACCTTGTCACACCGTTCATGACCTTTCCCTTTGTCCTAGCACTCTGACAATTGTAGCTGGAACGGATTGGCTGAGAAGTCGGGTCTGGGAGCCGATCCCTATCAGGTCGAGGGAAGAGTCCTAGCCATCAGGTAGAAGGCTCCCTATACTATTCCTCTCCTTTCCTAGCTCTTTGGACCCTCGAGGCGGAAGCTGTGAGAAGCAGTGACGCCGGCTTTATTGTGGACATATGATCAGATCTCCAACAGACGGTGAGCTGCTGGAACTGTACCTCGTACAGGCGGCTCGGGGCAAATGGCATGTCACATGCAAGATCGAAGATGAGGTGAGTGTCAGGTGAGGTTAGTGCCCAACCTGAGGTTGAGCGCTTCTCGGAGAATGACCAATTGCGACGGCATGACGCACTTTCTTAGCTGCGACAAGCTAGACGCCTTCTGTCTTGCTGCCCAACCGGTGGCCATTGGTCGAAGTGATTGGCCACCAACTGGCTGGTTGGGGGTCGTTTGATCTCACCGGTGCCACTAGACTCATCGTGTTCGAGTCATCCCGCATCCACAGCACAAGACACAAAGGCCTCTCTCACACCGATAAGCTCAAGCGCCATCTGCAACCCTCCCACGCATTCTCGCTTCTCCACGTCCGCCACCAGTTCTCAGGGTACAGAGTTCCAGCCATCAAACTCTATCTTGCCTAGGACAGTACGAGTTACCAGGTGCCATGTCTATCCATTTTAGCCCCCAGTGTGAAAATGGCCGCGGTAATAATTGCAATAATGAAGAATTACACGTTCACGATGATATTTGAGCGGCAGCTTGGATTTCCTTTGAGCCGGTAGATGCTGAACTGATGCTTTCGGGGCTCGGGTGCCAGGCGAGTGGTAAATAGCTGGGTCGCGTATACGGAAGTACCATTGTTCGGGAATACTACTATGTACGGCGGGCACCGAATGACTGACTCTTGAGGTACGTACCGATATGCGCAAACCCTCGACCGAGCGCTTGGTAGTCGTTGTCGTCGCTGTACATGGTACATCCTGGGTGACATCCAAAGCGCTGTAAATGACCTGAATATGGGCCTGCCGTATCTGCTCTTCTTCATCGCCTCGCTGTCGTAGAACACAGCATGGGCGATTCTATTCGACCCCTGGAATGTCACCTTCTCTTCTCTGCTAGGCTGGCGCCGTGATCGCCGGTGGTACTACTGCCTGATCATCCGGCTTAGATGGTTTCACGTTGAAGGGTCGTGCGGGCTCGCAGCACACAACACTGCGCACTTTGACAATACGTGCGTACACGCCTTTAAATGTTTTCAGCATAACGGGTACCAAGGTCTATTTTGCGGGACGTCCAAGGACAGCCGGAAGGTCGAAGAGACGCTCGAAACAAGGCCTAACAGACGTGGAATATCACTCCCTATCAAGCCAACGGGTCATACTGCTGGGCTGGCTGGGTTGGGCGGCTGCTTGTGTCTCGTGGGCAACGATTGGCGGCTGTGCTTAGCTTGCCTGGGCCGTGCAGATTCTGCCCAAACCAACGCAGAAGCGTCTTCTGCCTGCGCATCCGGCAACCCCCCTCCCTTCTCTCTTCTCATCTTCCCAAAACTCATCCTCCAACAACATCCTTCCACCATCACCATTTCGTCTGGACATCATACCCTCCGCCCCTTGACTAGGCCATCAATCTCCCCATCCATTGGCGATCACCTTTATCTGGACCTTTTGATTTATCTATCCGGTGGATCTGTTTTGCCCAGGACTCGGCTTGGCCCACAGGATTGACCAACACAATCTCTTCGCTTACCCTCCTACAGCTCTCCTGACACTTTCCTTCCATTTGTCTGATCCGCCCTCTTGCTGCCCAACGGACCAGGAATCTCATCGTCGCGCGTCGCCGCTCATATATCTCCCACGCTGCCACAATGTCCTCCCGCTACGTCGAAGACCGAGACTACCACCGCAGCACCACTGACTCCCGCCGAAGAGCAGACCGCGATCCTCGGGAGCGGGTTGATTCTACCAGAGACAGAAGAATAGACGATCGTCCGCTCGATCGAAGTCGAGATACTCATATGACAGATGCCATGGACATTGCAATTGACCGCCGTGTGGACCCTCGTCTTGATCCCAGAATGGACCCCCGGATTGATATCGGGAGAGATACTGCAAGAGCCAACACTGCCAGCCGCATTGATCCTCCGCGGCCTGATCGTATGGTTGACAGTCGTAGCGCTGAACCCATTGAGAAGTATGTTCAAGACCCAACAACCGGACAGCTGTACCGTCAAGTTCCCGCAAGGGCTCCCTATACTCGTGGCGACGACCGTGACTATATTGATCCTCCACTGCCAAGAAGCCGGACAGCCGTGGACCCTCCAGCCTCAAGAAGCCGGACAGCCGTGGACACACCCATGAGAGATGATCGCATTCGTGATGAACCCAGGACAGCCCTTGGAGATTACTGGTGTCCGGGAGAGGGCATAGAACGAGAAGTCCTTCAACACGAGATTTGCAAGTTTCTTGGACAGGATGCCACGTGTCGCCCCGGTCAAGATTCTCGAGTATGCTGCTCCGGTCGCTATGGGTAGGTGTTATATGCTGACAGTAACCTTTCAGGGACGTCCCGGATTTTGGGTCAGGGCTTATCGTCCATTCACAACGGTACGGAGCAATGCTGTGGCCATCTTCTTCACCGTATAGCTACTAATCACACGTCGTACAGGCAATGGAGCAAACCCTGCGCGAAGAGTCTGAGCGATGGTTGCGTGAGAAAGAGAGAAGACGTCGACACGGCGAACCGCGAGGTATGCCTCCATCCGACTCATCCAAGATTTGGTCTAAGAGTGGCACAGGTTCATACGAGCAGCTGGCACAACAGGAAACACAAACAGCACGTCGCTACCCAGGAGATATGGACCTTGATGACGATGATTACCGGCAACCTCCCCCCATACGGCATCGTGACCCACGCGATCCCCGTGACCCTCGTGACCGTGACATGGAGCCTCCCCGTCCCGTGGCTAGTGGCCGCATTCCTGTCAGTACTGGCTATCCCCCGGAGCCCGGTTATCCTGCCCAATATACCATTTCTTCACAGCAGCCGGGATACCCTACAGGCCAATCCCAATATTATGGAACGGAGAGAGAGCCCCGGACTTTCAATAGCGGCAACACGACGCCTCCTTCAGCCATCAGCCGAGCCTCACAATCCGGAGGCTACGGGCAGCCCGGATATTCGTCGAGGTCGGCACCGCCGGTGTCTCAGTCAATCCCAGCTCCTTATGACCCAAGGTCGAGAGATATTATGAGTGGTGCATATTCCTCTGGTTACTCTGAATCACGCCCCAGGAGGTGATGAATGCCGTCGTGCTCTCGAGCTCCATGCTATATATCTCCGGATGTTGCAATGCCCGCCTGGAACCTGTCAGTGACCGATATATCTTCCCTGTCCATTGCCTGGTTCGGCCTTATATTGCAAACACGCAGCATCATTTGAATTGCAATGCAACATCTTTTTCCGGAGGTACACGACCATTTATGCCGTGGATGACACCGGTTTGTGACAACAGCATCACGTGACCAGGACTTTTATGAGTTTAAAAAGAGGATATCAGCTGGCATGGACCACGCTGGCTGCGCAACATGCATCAAACCATACGTACCTGGAGTCTGGGTTGTCCATCATTTCCACTGAGGAGCACTTTGATCCGGGAGGCACAATACATTTTGGTTCAGTCCGTCGGAGAATGATAACCCATGCGGCAAAGCCCGGTGTCGCGATCAGGATTTGGATGTACTTAGCATTGGATGGTGTTTTGGGGTGGTTATGTGGCTTGGCTGCGCTTTGATCAGTTTCATGAAGCCAAAACTAATGCAACGACAACTTCTACTCTGGTACTGCTCTACCATGAGTCTATACTGGAGTCTTCCATATCTTGTGCTCTTCTGATCCTTGCGACCTGGATGGCTTCACCCTTGATTTCTGCTCGTGATCCGGATGTCGCTACCGCAGCATGGAAACATATACAGCCAGGCACTTCCGGATCTCCATTGAACTTGAGTTGAGGAGACAGTCCAGTAGCCTGGCTTTGAGCTCCACGGTGCTTTTGCCTGAGGACAAATGATCATCTGGGAGAACTGCGATTCGTGTTGCTTCGCTCGCCGTCTTGGAGTCGTATCTCCGCTGACACGCCGGATACCTGGTACAATCGAACCCGTCTTGCTGCAGCCTGTGAGAAATGTTGTACTTACAGGTATATTGCCCCTGGGAGATCAACCTCCTTGGCTCTGGCTGGTCCTTTTACTGGGCTAGAGAGCGGTGATTGCTGTCTCACTCGATCTCCTCGGCAACACAGGCTGCAAAGACTGCAGTAAGCGTGACTGGCTTACTCGACGTATCACCTCCCCCCTCATCGCTTCCAAGTCAACTGCGGTGTGAAGTTGGTAGCTGTCCGGGTTATCGACGCCGTGGAAACACAATCGCTGGTCGTCTACCTGTTCATTCACATGATTGCACAGTGAATGGTCTCCCTTCAGTATGTCGCTTGCGGGTCGGTGCCAGAACCAGCTTCACTGTTAACAGTCGCGCTGCCTACTCATACCCTGAGGTGTTCACGAACATGAGCTTTGTCTTCTAACACTCACTCCTTCTTTCTTACTGATTCTCACCACCTCCAATACTCACCTTCCCATCTACACAAGGTGTCCTCCTCCTCTCCATCTCCTTGGATCCTCCGACACTTCTGACGACCTCCGTGGCGTCGTCAAGATGACGGCTTATAAGTCCGCGTTCCCACATTTTGTGGACGGTGACGTCCTCATCATCATCTCGTCCACACAGCACTATAAACTGCACTCTCAAGTCCTCGCGGCCCACTCCACTTACTTTGCCGACCACTTTGCCTCCAGGCCTGGGCCCCGCCTCAACGCGCAGGCTCGCCGCGAGAACCTTCCTGCCTACCACTTCGAGTTCAAGCACGCTGCTGATGGCTCATTCGGCGAATTCGTCCGCGCGGTAAGAGAAAAGGCAAACACAAACAATATGGCGCTGATAAGGGCTGTTGCATAGGACATCAATGAGTCTGGACGTATCGTCACCCCCACACACACCCCTCTCACGCTCGACCTGGACAATGGCAAGCCAACCGACAATACTAATCGTGCCTGGGATTGGCTGTTTGGGGTTTTCTACAACCGCGAGCCGATCTTTGATGACACGTCCCTTGCTACCGTGCTCTCCTGCGTCATCGCTCTCATCGAATGCGCCGAAGCCATCAACTCGATCGAACATGTCTGCGACGTGGTTGATCTCGCTCTCATGCGCCAGGATAGCGTCCTGTGGACTTCGATCCTTGGCAACCCTCATGTCTGGATCGAGCTCGGCCGCCGCGTTCGCTCTCCAGCCATCTACAGCGAAGCAGTGATCCACCTGGTCGGCCAATGGGGCACTATTCCTGATGAAGAGAAGAGCCGCCTGAACGCTGACATCCGCGAGATTGTTGACCGCAAAGCGAACGAGCTGTCCGTCCTCAAGGAAGCCATTGAGCTCCGCATCCTTGGCCACTATCCCGAGTTCATGCGCCGCTCTGCAGCCAACAAGCCCGGTCGTCCGACCTACGGCAACGACATCTACATGTGGATGGCTGTCTGCTTCTTCCGTCAATGGTTCGCGCAAAGCATCTCGGACGATCGTACGCGTCGTGCTCCCGATGGGGGCCTGAGCTTCTACACCGCGCTGTCTGAAGGCGGCGAAGCCTACCTTTCCCATCCAGACTTTCAGGAGTTCCACAAGTACTTCCCCATGAGCATGAAGGCGTGCCAATTACTCGAGGCCAACATGGGCGTCCTGAAGGAAGATGTCAAGCGCTTTGTCGACAAGCTCATGGTCGAGCGCACCCATCTCAAGCGTGACGAACATATGGACATCGCCTGGCTGACATGCGCCACCGTCGAGAAGGGGGACTTCCCATGGCACAGCCTGAAAACCCCCAAGAAATCTATCGGCAGCCTGCCCAACTACGACGACATGTCTGACGAGGCGACCATGGACGAAGACGCTATGGCTCAAGCTCTCGCCGAGGCCAGTGCAGCACATAGTCTGTCGTATCTTAAGGCTAAGCGCGGCAGCTCACCTCGTGGCAAGAAGCGACCCCGGGTCAGTGAAACAAGTACCGCCGGAGAGTCGAACCTCTACGAAGAGTCCATTGGCACCAACACTATGTTCGTCAGTGAGGATGGCGAGATGGAGGAGTGATCCAGGTCAGAGCCTCAGAAAGCCAATTGCCGATGACGACCTCGCAGAGCTTGAGACTGATCGTTACGGTAACACGTCCTCACCCCCTCTACACAAAACCCAAGGCATACCCCTGACTGTTTCCTCATCCAGATTCGAGCTTCATTTCATGGTAGCTGCTTGGGGTCGAAGCATCTGGACGCCTCTTAATGGCAAAAATGGGCGCCAGGAGTTGATATTTTGAGATTGGCGAACAGGTAAATGGATATTGCAGGCCGCTGCGGCGTTGGGAAGGGGCAGCGACCTGGACGGCATTTCTACTTCCCCTAGCTTGGTATCTGGTGGGCATCAGAGCTGGAATTGGCCGTACCATGAATTCTTCGAGACGAGCAAACTTCATGCTGCCGACGGCATGGCAGCTATCTTATACTCTACCCGCGCGTGACGAAGATAGCGAGAATGGAGACATAGCGCTGATAACGAGGATGAGCTCTTGAATACAATTGCATTTTGCTGAATATGCCTTAATTCATTCTTGCAGGACGTAGCTACGTACAGAGGCTGTCCCCTCATCTCCGTCTACTTTGGCCTGGCAGGTGCTGTTAGGAGCATACGCTTGACTCTTTCGCGGCTCGGTCGCCAAGTCAGCTTGCGTGCCGATGCCGATTAGACATATGGATTATTGATAGCGAGCGCTCATTTCGGATCGTCAAAGCCTTCCGGGATCTTCCTCGGTCCCTTGGGAACTGCAAAGAAAAAAGGTTAGCAAGCTTTTTCCTCCCTTCGATCGCATGAGTTCAATGTGTGTGTGTGTGGGTGTTATGTCTTCATCGAGCACCATCAATCCCTTGACCAAGCTAATATTGGATGCGTCCAAGACTCCACAAGCTCTCCTCTCCAGTTGTTTGCCGACACAAGCCAGCTCAAAGCCACAATCAAAGGCATCTAGCGTCAAACGCTCGTGTCATACGTACCAGGATATGTCAACGGAATCCGCGGCGGATCCTCATCCCCAACCCAGCGACGCAGCGGTGGAATGATCGCGAAACTCGCAGGTCCCAGGCCTCCCAGAATGCAACTCCAGAAGATGGCGGGCTTCTCGTGCGCGGCCCAGCGCAGGTACCGGATCGGGGCGCCCCAGAAGCGGGCGGGCACGCCGGAGGACATTATGACGGCTTCTTTATGAAAGAGGCAGTGATTGACCTGTAGGGGTTCAACTGATTGCGCAGGAGGGAGGAGTTCTCGCGGCGGTCAGGACGGCAGGAGGGAAGATGCGAGTTTAAGGGTGTCGTTGGGTGCGAAGGGGAGCTTCGTTGGAGGAGCAGAGGGAGTTTTATGCGATTTTGAGAGGTTCAATCGATTCTAAGAGGTGAGGCGGGTTCGCAAGCTTGGACTAGTAGTTATTGTTCGCCCTTCGGCGGGCTCAATTGCTGGTTGAGCAGGACGAGGATGTTACTGTTGATAGCGAACAAGGTCGAGGTGAGGCACAGTTGAGCCTTGGCAGGAAAAGCGGGACCTCGCTGCTTTTATGTCCACCCACCTCGTGACTCGCGTTCTTCCCACCTCTCATCCTTCCTTCCCTCCGACTTACCGTGGCCTTGACCTCCTATAGTGCTGTGCGCACACAAGCGTCCTCGTTGTCCTTTACCTCGACCAGAATCTGAAGTCAGCGGCTTGTCGGTATAGCTCGTTCCTGTGGCCCGGTGGCGTCCCTCACTCCGTGCTGTACAGCAGGTGGAATTCGTACCTCCCTTTCAAATGAGCCCTTGCGCTCGCTCGAGAGTATCGGTACGAGATATGACGGGTAAGTAAAAATACCTTCCAGCCAGGATGTGCCTCGTAGCAAGCCGCGTGGTCACCTTCACCCACCGTTCATCAACTACCACGAAAAAACTGCACACTCCCCGTCCTTGAGGAGGCAGTTCCGACCACCCCGAACATTGACATCCGATCGCGAGCACGTAAAGCGCCGCCATTTTAGCTATTTGCTGTTTCGGTAGTTGGTGATTGACTGTCGCTACCATGATCTATTCCATTTCCTGGCCACACCTAGTGACGCCCTTCTCGAGACTCATATCGCCCTTTCCAGTATGATAGTTTCGAACACCTCAGCATGCAAGCCATCCCCACTGGCAGGGACGAGCTCATTCTTCGGTTCAAGGGATCTCAACCTTTCGTGACGTACTCAAGCACCTGCCTACGCCAGCGCATGTTCCGGTGCGCACTTCCGAACCACGAATTCTGGATCGTGGCATGAACTGGTGGTTAGGCTGAACGTTAGGCTCGCTCTCAGTCTGGAGTCGTCTGTATCGACCCTCGGCAGGAGTCTGTCCCGCCGATACCCTACCGCCGTCGAGAGTGCTGCGGCAATCGCCACAACCACCTTTTTACGACGGCTTTAAATCATGATTGGCGACTGCTCTCGACTATACAGACGGCCAGGGAACTGCCATATTATCCTTACGTGAAAGCCAAGTCGCACATTGGCGGAACCGGTCCCATGAAATACCGAGCTCCGTGGACGGGCCGGGAAGGTTGAGGCCGCTCGTACCAACGTGGCTCTGGATCTTGGGAAGAGATGAGTGTGAGCTGGAAATGCTCCGTGAAGGGCGGCTGAACAGCCGAGTATCTACGTTTGTCCAGGCTCCTACCTGCCACAGATCGTCTTGACATTCCTCTAACCCTCCTGATTCCCAGACCGGCACAATCGTGTACCAGGAGACATCAGGTCATTAGGAACATTGGTCAGTTGGGGCAGAGATTAATCTCCGCTTGAGGCGTGTGCAGAGAATCGACCAAAGGTATCCGGGCTCATGACGTCCACCACCGCACGATACGTGACATTCTTGGCCATTTCCCAATTGATCAGGACAGCAACTGCCAAAGACTGGGGAGAGCTCCGGAGCGCCCGAAGAATGGACATTGATCGACACCTGGTCAGCTCCTACGACAAATGCAAACCGCGCACCTAGGGAGCATTTTCAGATACAGGCTATACAACCAAAGAGCCGGTCGGAGCTACCTAGGCTAGCTCGCAATGAACATACGAATAGTGAAGAAGAAAAACCCTGGGTAATTGTCACATCCTGCATCGCCGCACTTGAGCTTAGGCAAAACGAGGCAAATGTCACTCAAACAGCACATGGGTGCCGAAGCGAACATAGCTGCCAAGCGGTGGAGCTAGAAGGACATGGCCCGCGATCCAGTTTTCTACACAGTACCATTGAAGAACCACATCTATCACCCGCCGGCACCAGATTTTCATGCTTCGAAGCACCACTAAGCAAGTCATCAGAGAAGACACTGTGGTACCTCGAAGTCCTCGTCTAAGCAGGTCGGTCGATCTCCTTTTGACATTAGATCTCCATTTCACGTAAATCTGCGCGGCTTTTCCAGGCACAGTACACCAGTGCCAGGGACAAGACGAGCAGATTGACGAATAGAAAGCAGACATTCTCAAGATCGGCTAGGTCGGGAGTGCAGATCTCATGCATGATAGGCGAGCCAAAGCTTACCTGCTGTGTAGTCTCGGCATCAGGCCGAAAGACCCCGAACCCCCATTGACGGGTCAAGACGTACATTAATGGGATTTTAACCCGGCATGAGTTAGTAGGGGAAGTTAGTAGCGCTGAGGCCAGAACCCGTTAACAACTCGACGGAGACAAGACATGCCTGAATGCAGGTGTGCACATGTACTCGTCAAATTGACATAAGAATCGGATCTTGAAGCAGATCAGTAGCGAGCTCGCCAGAGCTAGTTAAAAGCCGGATCTTAGTTAGGCTGTAAACGACTCCATACTTAGGCGAGACACATCCGCCAGATACGTCAGCGTCCTCTCGAAGTGTTGTAGGCCAGGCTGGGTGCTAGGCGACTTATCCTAATAAAGACTCTACTAAAACCCAATTGAGAAGACGGTCTTACAGAGGCATGCTAAAGTATGTTTTTAAGGTACAGAGGCGTCCAATCAACCGGCCGTCTGTGGCTTATCTTTAGTCGTTGATTGGTCAATCTCAACAAGGTAAGAATATGCTTGTGGGCATGGCCTCGTACCCTCCAGACTTCGCGTTCTACCACAGTACCACAGTATATCCTTTCGGAAAGCGGAGCAGAGGAGAGTACATTACGTTGACGGACTGTCGCGTCTCCACTGAATCTGCCTCCAGCATGGCTTTTACGGGAATCGCTGTTGATGGCACTCCGTTAGTCCCACTTACCAATCATCTCACCGTCGACCTCCCACAACAGGTAAGTGGATCACTCAACGGCGACATCAAGGTATGGAGAATTTTCTCTTGCCCAAACTGCCGTGGAGAGTAGACGTCACAGGTACAAGGCTACCCGGTTTCGATCTTGACCAGAAACACTTTCTTCGTATGCGATATAATGTCCACCGTCCTTCTGACTTTGGAGATCCGCGCGTGTGAGATCCGCGCGTGTGAGATCCGCACGGCCGCCCAACTCCTGATCATCGTCGTCTGTGCGTCTTGCTGATGGCTCTTTCCATGGTTGGGCGGACGAGTCTACTGGTCACTGTCATTGTAGCACTATCAGCTCGCATTCATGCTTCGCCATTCTTTCGTCGGTCTAACCAACAGTCCAGTGGTAAAAAGTCCGCAGACTTCGTCATCATCGGAGGTAAAATCGTCTCGATCTGTACATGCTGTCGACGAGCTCTAACCCAAAAAAACAGGCGGAACTGCTGGACTGACCGTCGCCGCAAGACTCGCCGAAGCCGACTTCTCGGTTCTCGTGCTTGAGGCCGGGGGGTTTCCAGATAGCTACGGGCTACCATGGGATTCTCCAGCGCTGACTGGCGAAATGACGGGTAATTAGGCGTGAACTCAATTGCTAGATCATGGCTGAGTCCACAATCCAGACACACCCGTCGACTGGAATTTCACTTCACTTGCGATCCCCGGTCTGAACGGTCGTACCGTCGCGCAGAATCAAGGCCATTGTCTCGGGGGGACAAGCTCGATCAATGGTCTCACCTACGGGCGTGGTAGTCGCTCCATATACGATAACTGGGAAGCGATAGGAAATCCGGGCTGGGGATGGGACGACGTTCAGGAGTATTTTGAAAGAGTTCGTGTCCGGAGGACTGGCAGCGTTAAGACCTATACTGATGCCCATTAGACTTGGAAACTCGTGCCACCGCCAACCGATGAGCATTACAGGACATATGATCCGTCTCTGTACGACCCGAACGCTGGACCGGGTGAGCTTGGATATACGAACTTCAACCCACCCTCCATTGACGCGTTTGTCGAATCTCTTCCTTCGATCGGTATTCCCGTTTCGCTGGACCTCAACTCTGGTAACAATATCGGGGGGAAACACGAACTCAGCACTCTGGATCCCATCTCTCAGACCAGAGTATCGAGCTACACGGCATTTTGGGATACTGTTGCCGGGCGCCCAAATTTCGAAGCGATCACCTTCGCTGTGGTCGAAAAAATTCTGTTCCGGAGTGCCGATGGAAAAGAGGGTTCTTCCCAACCTGTTGCTTATGGTGTCGAATTCTCGACCATGGTAAACGGTGAGAAGCGCAAGCAAACAGCATATGCCGACAAGGAAGTCATCTTGTCAGCTGGCACAATACAGACACCAAAAGTGCTGATGTTATCCGTATGTCATTCGCCTTTTTTCTCGATCGGCATTGACGTGATTGCAGGGCATCGGACCTCGCCAGCCCTTGGAAGATCTTGAAATTCCAATCGTGTACGAAAACGAATGGGTGGGGAAAAAGTGAGTCTGCCCATCTGATATTGCGAATACTTCGACAAGGTGCTGACAAAGGTCATTTTAGCCTCCGCGACTCACCCTCCTTTTCCATGATTGTAAAGACAACCGACGAGGCCTCCACAAACAAGTTTCAGCACAACATGGACGCTATCCAAGCTGCGACGGCGGAGAAGGCTAGCGATCCAACCAGCTCCACAAATCCACTCAATGCCATTGACGGCAACTCCGGGCCGGCGTACTCGTTCGCAAAGCTCAGTACATCTGACTTGGAGGACACCGGGGCGTCATACCTGATTGCCAACCAATCTGACCAGGCGCACTACGAAGTCATTTTGTGGACTTCACTGTACCCATTGCCGGACAATGTTCCCACGCTGAACAACTACTATGACTTCAGCAACTACACCCAGGAGTCATACGTCTCCCTTGCATCGTACTTGTTGGTTCCCGGATCCGGCGGCAACGTCACCATCAGTTCGAAAGACTCCTCCTCACCTCCTCTGATTAACTTATCGGTAAGCTTTCCTCACCATCGTACCCACATTGCGTCGCGCTGACCGTGAAACACACAGTTCTACGAGCGTGACGCCGACATGAACATCCAGATACTGTCCCTGAAAAGGCTCAGAACATTAATCTCCCAGAGTGCTTTCGCGTAAGTGACCAATGCCGTCCCGGTGAACCTGAATGGTGATGACTTACCATTGTCCGTGAAATTCAGGCAATATACCCTCGGCCCTGCCTACGGCGAGATAGTGCCAGGACCTGACGTCCAGACCGACGAAGACATTGCCAATTTCATTCGTGAAACCAGTATTTCTGCTGCCCATCAAGCTGGCACCGCTGCAATGCGTCCACTGGACGATGAAGGCGTCGTGAGCCCCTCGCTTGAGGTATATGGGGTTGAAGGGTTGCGCGTCGTTGACGCTTCAGTCATGCCGCTGTTTGTGGACCAACATCCGACCGCTGCAATCTACATGATTGCGGAGAAAGCTGCCCAGATGATCAAGGACAAATACGCCGCGGAGTAGGGGCGCAGGGCCTCTGAAACTCATAACGGCCAGGTTGGCCGCTTTTCATCCGACAGAAACTTTGATAGACGAGCCAGAGACCTGAAGCAGGGCGCACACCGGCTGAGGAAGGGGGCAATAATAATGACGGGCTCGTTTGGGTAGATCGGAGGCAAGAAGACACGCGCTGCATTCAGATCTCTCGACAAGTCGTAGTACATAATTAACGAGACGCTGAAATCTGACCTAACGTACGGAGTACCATCGCCCCGGTTCATTGCAATCATCAGCTTGCCTCGTTAACGAAAAGTGCTCGAAACGACGACGTTCTTGACCAGACAACTCAGGAATACCAGAGGCAGGAGTCTGGCGCTCCGGCGGAACCGGAAGATGAGGACGAGAAGGAGAAGACGGTCCAAGAGATTGGATGGTGGAGCACGAGATGTGGCGTGTTTGGGGCCATCCCTTCACGTTACCCCCAACAGCCCCTCGGGAGACCTTCCTAGTTACACGAATAGTAATAGAATGCTCGTGATTATATAATCAGGTGCTGGTCGAGTTGGTCTCGTGGTCTTTTAGCCTACGGTTCCCCCCTTGCCCCTGAGCGTTGACACAAGCTAGAATACTCCGTATTCAACCACCAAATTCTATACTTGTTCTGCGGACATATCGAGTAAAAGTGGCCTAACATGCAGCTGCTTAGACACGCACTTGCCCAGATGCAGACGGCTCAGACGACAGCCGCATCTGCAGTAGCTGTCCCATTGATACATCTCAGCCCCTCGGATGAGTTTGCAGCGTCCTCGTGTAATTCGTCGAAGTTGACTCTTGCAATGACAGCGTAACGAACACCTTAACATACTTTGACCCGTGGATTTATATCGGCAACAAGCAAAGAGATCTCAAGCGTCAGTTTCGAACTGGCCCGAGGTACAGTAAGTTGCGTTTGACACTGGTCAACTGGGCATCCTGCCCGGCATCATGGTGCCATCCACATCGAGAAATGTGAAAGCTTTGCCCTGACATCATGGATGTTCAGTGCCTTTCTCAAGAACCAAACCCCAATCGGCCAAGACAGACGTGCAAGACACCGAATATGACTGGAATGGGTTCATTGGTTTCCTCGCCTGGAAAGGCGTACAACAAGCCGCATTCGCCTTCGACCAACTCGGTTGGGACACGCGTGCTCGGTTAGCCTTTGTCCGCGCCTGGCTCTTCGATGGTCTTCTAAGCGAGTTCTTGGTCGATCGAGGCGAGATCAGGTTCCCAAAGTTTGCCTACCAGTCCAGATGAGACCGATATCATACTCGCAGCGCAGTCTCTTGCTCAAGACCTCGAACAGCTTTTGGCAGCATGGCCAGCCGGAAAAGCCGGCGCTCAGGACGCAAGAAGTCATGCACTTGAGTTTGGTCATTGAGGCTGCAAAAGGTAACATGAGTCACAAGTGTTCTGCGGCGCTGAGTGGAATGGAAGGCGTTGAACTAATTCTAGGTATCACTATTGAGACGCTACATTGGGCCCTTTCGAGAGCAAAATCTCGCACAGCAGCACTTATAGGGTGGTCTGCCACATCTCGACCCTGGTATGGTGGGACATTTCACGAAAAGTCCCTGCTCGAGAAAGGCTGGTGCCGGAGGGAGATTTACTACCTGGAAGGTCTTCTGCAGTGGAGTCCTTCCGGACTCTTCTACGACAGCAGCTTACCACAACTCCGAGCAGGCCAAACGAGAGAAGGTGTCTCGCATCTGCATTGCACGGAATATACGTGCGTACAGGAGTCACTGATTTCAGAGGTTAACTACACAATGTGGCACATTCCGGACTGCCAGGACAGTTGCCAACTCCTTGCTCCTAGCCAGAGTGAGATTCTCAAGCTGTTGGAGGAAGAAGAAATCCCACTCTTGAGTTACAAGGCGAGGTCTGGCGCCCAGAAGCTAAAGGTCAAGCTTTTCGTAGCCGGTGATGTGTCTGTCGTTGTATCTCATGTCTGGAGCGATGGGCTGGGCAATCCGCAAGGCAACGCCATGCTTGCATGTCAGAAGAAGGTTGAATGGTCTCGTCCGTCTGTTCTCCCAATCCCAAGGCAAGGACTTGTCCTTCTGGATCGACTCCATATGTGTGCCGCACAGTCCGCGGGATGCTCGCAAGAAAGCCATCCGGACTAAACTTCCTTTCCTAATGCGCTATAATCCACAGCGTGGGCGCTGCTGCGCCAACTGAAGCTAATCTCAACCTACAGGTATGTTCGATGTCTATTCCTTGGCCATTCCACCAACGTACTCTCTGCAAGCCCCATGGACCACTCTACAAGTGGACTCGACTATATAGAGCTGGCAATGCGGATCTCCATGTCCTCCTGAATGCGGAGACTCTGGTGCTTTCAGGAAGGCGCCATGAGCCGGAATCTCTATTTCCTATTCAAAGACGATCTGATGAACGTTGAAGACATCGACGCAATGTATCCGGCCATGGCATCCGGCTCGGTGATTGCAGACACGGCTCGACCATTTTACGTCAATGTGCTTCGTCCACGCAACGTGTCTCGAGTCTTGGATGCGGCTCTCGTGAGTGCTGTCTGGCGCGCCATACAATGGAGGACCACATCGCATGCCGACGACGAAACTCTGGCCGTCGCAACCATTTTCGGAATCAGCAGAACAGACCTCGAAGACTGCGTGGCAACTCAATCTTCGACTCGTGCTGAGAAGCGAATGGAACTCTTCTTGCAGCATCTCCCTGACATCCCTGGTGGTCTGATTTTCATGGCAGGGACGCGACCGAGGACGCCCGGGTTCCGTTGGGCCCCAGCTACGTGGATGCCGACCGAGCAGCAAGATTATCCCGACCCACTGAGCACCAGCAGCTGCGCTCGGTACCCAAGGGGCTTCTCCATCACGACAGCGCACAGTGTTCTGACGGGTCACGACCTGCTTGTACGCTACCCCGGCTACCGTCTGCGTCAGCTCGAGAGGCCACGAAGCTTTTGCACAGAAGGCCAATTCACATCTCAGTCTTTCCTGGCAAGTCTCAGCCTGGTGGACTGGTATGTGATCCGGGATAGGTGGGACAGGGAAGAAGGATTTGAAGAGGAGGTCATGGCCCGATTGGACGAGGACAGCGCGCAAGGAGACTTTGCAGTGATGCACGATCCCGCGTCAAATTCGGCCTTACTTGTCCTGATTTATGGAGAGGAGGACAGCTATCTGCGTTGCGAGTCGCTTGGTTGAGTCGTGCTTGAGCGATGCTCGCAGGCCGAGACGGAAACCCGGCGATGGGAATGGGAAGATGATGAGGACAGGGTCTTTGGTGAGACTTTGGGCGCTGATAAGCTCTGGCTTGTGGACTGAGGAAATCAGAAGTCTTTTCTCGAGCAGGTGAAATCATGTCTGCCGCCAGACCTCGTCTCTGACCTAAGTGAACCGGCTCTGCTCGAGGTGAAGTCATGGTTCTTCTGCATTGGCGCATTGATAGCCTTTCCGCCCCTCTATGGACTCGATATTGTAGCCCAGTGATATACCCACCGGCTTTGAGCTGCACATCAATGTTTCGTATAATAAATGACGGCGTGAGGTCTGGTCGAGGATTGCTCCATCTCGGAATCCAGGATGGCTCACCACTCTAGTGACTTGGTCTGCGGAGTTATGCTGCACGAAACACAGAAGGCAAGCAGAGTCATGTCTACTCTTCAAAAAGGCATGCATGGCATCTAAGTAGACTTCTATCTCATCCTTGTCATAATCTGGCTTCGACAATGGCTTGCCATCATGGGAGCTGACAAGAGGATGGCGTACCACAGTAGAAGAGCGTCCTGTGCAGATGTCAGATGTACTCCGCACTGCGGCGTGTGCGGCACACGCTAGGGCGGAGCACAGGGCGGCATCACCCTTGGCCCAATGCGGACGTGCCGGGCGCGGTTGCATACCTACTGTACGTACTGTACATCTCTTGACTCTCATACGCCAGGCTCAGCCAGGACAGCAGAGGCAGTGTTCTGCAGGCAACTCGCGACGCAGGCGCCACGCTGCCTCATGCGGTCCAGCTGCGCTGTCAAGATGCATTTTCAGCCTGATGGGTGTTCTTCATCAATGCTCATGGTCCAGAGTTAAGTTTCATTGCATAGGCCCAGTTGGCTAACGATTGTCCCGTGTCGACTACGCTCCCCCTTGCACTTACCTTGCCGTTCATTACACCTGCGACGAGTGCGCTGCCGCCGTCCCTTCGGGCTGTGAGACGGACACATCACACCTCATCGCGATGAGCGCCCTAGTGCTCTAAGTACTAGCTGAAGTCTTTTTCTCCCGATCCTATGTTCCTCACTAGAGTGCCAAAGCGACATCAACACGATGCACCTTCTGGAGATCGACGACCAGGGTGATATCAGGCTGACTGAGGATCTCCAGGATGGCATTCCTCCCTACGCGATCCTCTCCCATACTTGGGGAGATGATAAGGATGAGGTCAAGTTCGACGACCTAAAACACGAATCTTGGAAGAGTAAAGCTGGCTATACGAAGATTCGTTTCTGTGCGAAACAAGCCAAAAAAGACAACCTCAAATACTTCTGGGTGGACACATGCTGCATCAACCAAGCGAATTTCACCGCTTACTCCGAGGCAATCAACTCAATGTTTCGCTGGTACCACGATGCAGCGAAGTGCTATGTCTACCTGCCCGACGTGTCAATGCGTAAGGGAGACGAAAACTACATGAAACCGACTTGGGAGCTAGCTTTCCAACATAGTCGATGGTTCACCCGTGGCTGGACACTTCAAGAGCTCTTAGCGCCGGCCTCCGTTGAATTCTTTTCGCAGGAAGAAGAGCGCTTGGGTAACAAGGAGACACTCGAAAAGCAGATCCACGAGATCACAGGTATTCCGATTGGGGCCCTCCGTGGCTCGTCTCTGTCGCAGTTTAGTGTGGAGGAGCGCATGCGATGGGTAGCTAAACGGAACACCAAGAAGAAGGAGGACAAGGCATATTGTCTACTTGGGATCTTTGGTGTCTCCATGCCTTTGATATACGGGGAAGGGGAAAAGAAGGCACTCGACCGGCTTCAGAGGGAAATCGACGAGTCAAGAAGTAGACACTCCACTCACAAACCCCACCCCACATCCTCCCCTGGACGCTGCGGTAAGCCTCGTGGATTATCCCCTGGATGCTGCTAACGTTTGATCAGGCTCCCCTACCATATCATCCGACGGCAATGTCGTCTTCGATTCGAGAAGACGCAGCATGGCGGTCCATGAGCAGGAAAAATATCAACGCCTTCTTGATTCCTTAACATTCGAGCGCATGGATGCACGTCTTCTGAATATCGCCAATGCTTTGCCGCAGACATGTAGGTGGGTATTCGACGAAAAGGAATTCAGAACGTGGATTACACGCAACGAGATCGAAGACAACCATGGTTTCCTCTGGATCAAGGGGAAGCCTGGTTCAGGCAAATCAACCATCATGAAAGAGGCTCTCAAAAAGATCAAAAGAGAACAGCCCAGAGATATCATCATCTCTTACTTCTTCAACGCACGAGCCCCAGGCCTCTTAGAGAAGTCAAGTGTTGGAATGTATCGCTCGCTGGTACGTCAGATACTTCAGGCACGGTCGGAGTTACAAGGACACTTCTTCCAAATGTTTGCTATGAAGGACCGAGGAGGGCTGGTGGACGAGTGGACGCCTGCAGAGCTGCAAGGATTTCTAACAGACGTTGTGGAGAGCCTGGGAGACCGCACACTAGACGTGTTCATCGATGCTTTGGACGAAGGGGACGAAACCGACGTACGTCACCTTGTTACTTTCCTCGAAGAGCTAAGTCAAAGAGCAGTTTCATGCCCTACATCCCTGAGGATATGTCTCTCCAGCCGTCATTATCCACACATCAGCATCCGGAAGGGTCTTTATCTTGTCATGGAGCACCAAGATGGACAGAGAGATGATATTGACAGGTATGTTCGACTTCGACTCCACGGCGATGAAGGTCGTGGGACGAACGAACTGAGAGAAAAGGTGTGCCAAAAGTCGTCACGCGTATTCCTCTGGGTCGTCCTGGTCGTCCCAATGCTCAATGAGCTTTACGACCATGGTCTAGTTGCAGCGATGGAGGCCCGTCTCGAGGGGCTCCCCGATACCCTGGATGGTCTATTTGCGGAGATTCTGGCAAGGAATGCCGAGGGCATCGACTCGTCTGTCTTGCTTTTGCAATGGGTTCTTTTCTCGTCGCGGCCACTAAGCCCGGTCGAGCTATATCTTGGAATGCAATCCGCATTGGCATCATCGCCCATTGGAGGTGCCACATCGATTGCTGAAGAAACAGTGGAGCGATACCTTCTCAATTGCTCTCGGGGACTTACTGAAGTCACTAGGACCGAGCCACCTTTGGTACAGTTTGTGCATGAGGCAGTTCGAGATTTCCTCCTTGGGGAGAATGGCTTCAAAAAAATCGACACCCGTCTGGCTGGAAATGTCAAGGGCATCAGCCATGAGCAACTCCATACGGCCTGTTTGCGATATTTCGACCAATGTCTGCCGTTGAATAATCCGGTCTATCGGCGAGAGGATCTTCCGCAGACGTTCCCTTTCGCCAATTACGCCGTCAGGTTCATGTTTTCGCACGCCGACGTTGCAGAGGCTAGCGGAATCCCTCACCGCGAGTTTCTGAGGCGGTTCCAGAGCAATGGTTCTCACGACTTTTTGAAGTGGATCCAGTTCTGGAATAGTTTTCAACCCTGGGAAGCAGAACAATATACTATAGCCGTGCATTTACTCTATATTTTGGCCAAGCGAAACCTGGTCGATCTGGGAAAAGTGTTGATTGACGACGGAGTTGACGTCAACGCTCGGGGGCAATACTTCGGGAATGCATTGCAAGCAGCCTGCGCAAATGGCCATGAACAAATGGCAAAGCTTCTTGTTGAAAGTGGCGCGAGCATCAATGCTCAGGGTGGCCGTTACGGTAATGCACTACAAGCGGCATCGAATTCTGGTCACGAGCGAATAGCTCGTCTACTGATTGAGAAGGGGGCGGA